AGCAAGGAAATCCACGGTTGGTTACCTCTCTCCCCCGATCCCGCTCTGTCTACGGCACTCACAACCGCACACGCACACACCGCACACGCACACACCGCACACGCACCACTGCACACGTACACGCACGTGCGCACGCACAATAGTGATCGATCTGGGCACGAAGCAAAAGCTCTCGTTCAAGATGGACGCGAAGAAGCCCGTGACCGCGCTCGCTTGCGACCCCGGACAGCCGCAGATCGTACGTGCAGACTCACTCCCACTCCCCGGAGTGCAGTTACAGTTTTTTTTGGCTCGTGACTCGGCTCACCCTCGCCCTCGTTCGCATGCGGCAGGCGGCGGCATCGTCCGATGGTGTCGTGCGGGTGTGGGACTACACCAGGCAGCGCATTCACTTCCAAACTGACGGTACCGGGCCACACACACACACACACACACACACACACACACACGCACGCACACACACGACGTGTCTGATGTATTTCTTTCATCGTGCGCGCGCAGACTTCAACACGATCTCGCTGGCCAAGAAGATTCCGCTGTCGCGTATCAGCGCGCTCGAGTTCTTCCAGCAGCAGATCGTCGCCGTCGGACAGAACGGTGTCGTCGTGCTGTGGAACCTCTCCCTGAAGGAGGCCAGCAAAGTTTCTGCCGGCTGGTACGCTCGCCGCACACGCACCGCCGCACACAGTAGCTTACGTGATGGCGTTGGGGGACCACCGCTGCAGCCGCATCATGAGGCACATGCTGCCGGTCGTGGGCGCAGCGGCCCATCACGCGCTGCCCTGCCTGCTCACGCTGAGCGCCAACGGCACGCTCTTCTCGTGGAAGCTCACCACCCACCCCGACAAGAAGATCAGCATCCACCCGGGCGGTACTACTACCAGCCCCTCTAAACGATCGATTACACCACCTTCCTTCTCCGCTCATCTTCTTCGTGTTGTGTGTCGTGTGTGTGGTGTGTGTGTGTCGTGTGTGTGTCGTGTGTGTGATTGTTGAACAGGCTATACGCAGGACTTCAACGCTGTGGTGACGGAGACGGAGAGGCGGGTGGACTATGTGTCGAGCTTCGGCGACCGGTCGGACGCTCCGCAGCTGGAAGCCACTGGGCTCGTCGCGCATCAGTCGCTGAACTACCTCGCCTTCACCTTCAACGTACATACCGACGCAGACAACACACACACGCACACCACCGCACACGCGACACACCACACACGACTCAAATTCGGTGGTATCGCCTGCAGAAGTCGCCCAAGCCGGACGGAGTTCCTTCTTTGCAGGTGGGAACGCGCGTCTGCTTCTATTCCCTCATGCCTCGGTACGCGCCCAACCCGCCAACGATCGATTGACTCACTGCACACGACACTCACCGTGTGCGTGTGTCGTGCGTGTCGGGTCGTGTGCGGCGTGTGTCGTGTCGGATCGTGTGTGTCATGTGTTGCATTGTGTTCAGATCGAATCCGGCGATGCTGCTGCCCCAGGCGGAGAGGGTGGAGGTGCAGTCGGACTTCTTCCACGAGGAGCGGTTCACGTTCGACTTCCCCGTCGACCGCTTCCACTTCGTCGATCGCAACAAGGTCCAGTCCCACTCGCTGTTGGACGGGAACAACATGCTCGAAGACGAGCTGCCGACGGTGCCGGAGGACGTCGGCACGACCCTCCACCCGACCCGCTTCCTCTACAGCCCCATCCTGCGCCAGTTCCTCGTCTTCAGCGAACTCTACGACACCATCGCCCTCAACAAGGACGAAGGTACCGCACACACCGCACACACCACTACATACACACTATCGCACACGCACACGACACGACCGCACATGACACGACACACGCACACACGACACACGCACACACGACACGACACACGCACACATGACACGACACACGCACACGAGTGTTGATTGAATTGTGTTGTCGCGCAGATTCGTCGTTCGATTCGATTTCGAATGTGAGGGAGCAGAAGAAGTCGCTGTTGTCGCTGAAGCTGAAGGAGGGCAAGGCGAACTCGAGCGGCAGCGTCGCCGGCGACGAAGGCGGCCCCGAGGACCCCGACAGCAAGGACGCCACCAACAACAACAAGAAGGAGAGGCACCACCACGCCAAGGAGAAGAAGAAGCTCATGGCCAAGTTCCAGGTCCGCACCTACGCGCACCTGCCCGCCGCCTCGGTCTCCCAGAGGTAACGACGCCCCTCGCCCCCACAAGCTATGCGAGGAATGTGAGGCAGGAGTAAGGAATTCCTGACATTCCTCCCTCGTGGGTTTTCACAACGCAGGACCAAGTACCGCTACTGGCTGAGCGCCGACCACAATTCGAGCGAAGGCAAGAACGCGCCGCGCGTGCTGCAGAAGGGTACCTTATCTCTTTCGTTCTTGTGTTTCTCTCGCGTTTCTTTCTCTCGACAGAGCGCTGAACTGCCAACCACTGCGGTGTGTGTCGTATGAAGGCCGTGACGGTGTTTTCATCGGCAGCCACCACCTCGAATACGTCGTCATCTCGGAGAGCGGCGAAAAGGTACACCAAAATGGATTTCTAGGACATTGGCACCACGTCATGGGGAGCCTAACCGTAAATACACTTTTTTGTCGCAGCTACATGTGGCCTCCACCAACGCCCCGACGTCGTCGAAGGCCTCGCACAAGCTGAAGCTCGACCTCCCGCGCCCCATGCTGCGCGTGTTCAAGACTCCCCTTGGTAACATATCACACACACCACACAACACACGTAAGCGCCTTTGATATTAACAGTGAATGCACGTGCGCGCAGCGAGCGAGAGGGCGGTGCTGTATTTCGACCCGACGGACAGCAAGGTGGTGTACTCGCTGAACGTGGCGACGGGATCGACGGAGATCACTGCATTCCTGCCCTCGCCCGAGCGCCGCCATAGCCTCAAGCTCTACCGCGGCGAAGTCCCCATCGACGTGCTGTGGAAGCCGCAGGCGGTTTGGCTCCCTCGTCTTCTTCGCTCTTGATTTATTTATTCATTCATTCATTCATTCATTCATTGAGTTATTTATAATTGTAAATTTGTATATTCTTGTTCTATTATTTATTTATTTATTTATTATTGTATAAAAAAAACTCACCACGGCATGTTGCAGGCTTCGTCGCACACGCACCTGGCTGCGGTGGTCACGACCCACTTCATTCGCCTGTTTTCCTCCGATCTGAGGGGCAACATCCGCGAGATCTTCAAGTACGAGAAGCCCTACAAGGCCGGCCCGGCCTACTTCCAGGTACACCCAACATCTTGATTCTGGGTCGTTGTATCGTATGAGTGCTTACAACGGTGTACCGCACACGCGCCGCCGCGCACGCACACGTCGACACTTGCGGATGTAGAGCGGCTACTGGCTCGGCAGTTCGTTCCTATTTTCGACGCCCACCGGCATCTCGTATCTGACCATCGAGGGCATCGTCAGGCCCCTCTGCTCTCTCGACGTGGCCGGCGCAGGTTGGTTCCCACCACCACCACCACCACCACCACCACCACCACCACCACCACCACCACCACCACCACCACCACCACTCCCTCCCACCAGGCTGCAGCTATTGATGTGTGGCTGTGCGCAGTGATCACGGCGGTGATGAACGACCGCATCTTCTACGCGTGCCCGTATCACGACCGCACCCAGATCCGCTCGCAGCCCGTTGGCCTGCTCGAGCCGCTTCTCATGGTATGTTTATACGCTATACTTCGATGTATAGATAACCGCCGAATATAACCGCCGTGTGGTGTCGACACAGGGCCAACTGTCGATGGCGCCCTTCCTCCGTCTCTCGCCTCATCACCTGAGGCCCCTCATCGCGAGAATTGTGGGCCGCTTTGACTGCAGGCGCGTCAGTCAGTTCCTCCTCGAGGAGCTCGACAGGAGGGTACGTGCCCCGGCCGCCCGGTTGACGTTGACCTACCGGTTACTCGCTGGCTTGGTTGGGCTCACAACATGTTTTCTGTTTTTCTCTGTGTTATAGGGACTGCCTGACTTGGCGTTCGCGCTCGCCGAGAACTCGATTCTGTTGGACGACATCTACAAGTACGAGTTGGCGGTCAGGTCGCTCTCCTTCCACAAGGCGATCAACCTCCTCTACAAGGCCTACAAGAACTCGCCTGGTTCGTTCTTTTTCCCGCTCTTTGCCCCTTTCTTTTATTTGTTACGAAAGTTCATCGTCTTCGTTCTTTTACCCTCCCCCCCTGACATGGTGGATTGTGCGATCGTGCGTGCAGAGTACCCGGCCCTGCCCGAGTCGTCGGAGCTGCGCGGCCGCTTCGTCCACCTGGCCGAGGTGGCGGTGGACTTCCAGCAGTACGAGATCGCCAGACGCTGCTACGAAGTGCTCAACGACTACTACGCTCTGCTCCACATCTACGCCATCTGCAGGTCCGCAGCAATAATCACGCTTTCGCTTCTCCTCCTTCGTCTTGTTCTTCTCACCTTGTTGTATGTGCGTGCGTGCTGCAGGGATGTGGATGGCCTCAAGTCGCTCACTGTCAGCGACATTCAAGACGCGCCCGTGGGTCTTGCCGAGCTGGCCCAGATGTTAATCGTTGTCGAGGTACACACACAGTCACTGGCTGCACTACGCTCGCCTTCCTTACACCTCGCTCGCTGCACTGCAGGCCCAGAACGCAGAGAAGCCGGCGGGAGTGTCCAACGCGACCTTCACGTCGCTCTACACGACCAGCCACTGGAACGCCCTCCAGGCCACCCATCCCATCATGCGGGCACGTCGCTTCCCTCCTTTCCCATCTTGTGTCGTTCGTTTCGCGTTCCCTGTTCGTTGCTGTGGTGTGTTCCGTTCCATCTCCATCGTCTGTCGTTCTTTGTCATCTGATGGCACGAAATCGCAGCTGCCTTGTTGCAATCTTGAAGCAACAAGACGATCGCAGCAAGTGATTGATATATGTTTTAAATTTATTGCCAGCGAAATCGCAATCACAAAGTCGATTGTCGATGTACGGGGCGTTCGAAGATCAAGGAAAGGGAGTACATGTTTTTACATGCTCTCCTCCTCCTTGCCCTCGACGGGGCGCTGCCTGAAGCCACCCTCGCGCGGGGTGTTCCTGGCGTAGGAGACGCTGAGCCTGCGGCCATCAAGCTCCTTGTCGTGCATGGCCTCAGCGGCGGCCGCGGCGTCCTCGGGGGACTGGAAGGTCACAAAGCCGAAGCCGCGCGAGCGACCGGTCTCCCTGTTGACCACAACTCGCACTACGCGAATCGAAATTGCGCGAGATTAGACGATGAAGAAGCTTTTTGCCAAATTGCTAAGCGGAAATGCGACGTACCGTGCCTGACCTCACCAAAACCCTCGAAGGCCTCCTTGAGCTTGTTCTCATCGGTGCCCCACGAGAGACCTCCGATGAAAAGGCGCGAGGGGTTGATGTCCTCGGTGAAGCGCCTGATGGCCATCCTGTTGGCAGCCGACGAGCCCTGGCGGGCGATGAGGAGGGAGGCAGCGGGGCGCGAGGCGAGGCACAGACGGTTCATTTTGCGGAAGGATGTGGTGGAGATGGAGCGAGATGAGACACTGAGCAAACGATCCTCGTCTCACGCCCAAACACCGACCTCGAACTTCCGGCTTTTTTCCCTCCGCGGAGTGTCGACACGAAAACCGGAGCTAAATTCCTGGAAATGTTAACCTCCGCAAGAAACCAGGAGAAATCAGCGTTTCTTGTTGGGAATCCGCGTTGTGTGCTGGCCATCGACTGGGAGCTGACTGGGAGGGTGGTTGTGGTCGCGGTGGTACGATGACGATCACAGGTGGGCCAGGGTCCCGAATGCGAGATGGTCACCGTGGCGCCGCTCAAGCCGGAAGGCGTGCAGGACTGGCTGGGCAAGAAGCTCGACTGGAATCCGGCCTTTATTCCCTCGTCCCAGCGCCCGGCCCCGCCGCCGCCCCTGACCCTCGCCTCCGACCACTCTTCGCTCGACGACCACCGCAGGTACTCTCCCTCCATCCACCTCTCCACTACGCAAGTGATCAGCTCACCCGACGACTTCTGGGGGATTGCAGTGGTGCGGCGGGCGGGCGCAGGGCGAGCGTCGTCAACGTGCCGGACAAGGGCGGGTACCTCATGCTCGTGCCGCCCTCGCGCAAGCTGCACATTCCCAAGGTGGCTCTGCCCTACTGCGACTCGACCACGCCCACGCTGCGGTACACGACACACACACACACACACACGACACACGGAGAGTGCTCACACACTTTATTAGTCGCACTCTTTCGGATGAGAATGTCAGGCGCATGACGCACTACGCGACCAAGAGCGCCGGCGATGCCTCGGGAACCACCTCCGACGGCGACACCCTCGACCAAGACGTACGTGGCCCCTCCGCTCTTTGGCCTTCTCTTTTTGCACCGGAATGTGGAATGCGATGAATGCTGACAAGTCGGCACCATCATCACTCCAGGACGTGGACAGCACCGAATTCTCGGGCACGTCCGAGATCCCCTCGTCCACCAACGTCGACGACACCTTCTCGCCCATGACCGACAACACCGAAGACGACGTACGCCCCTCCCGTCCGCCCACTCCCAATTATGTCACACAATATAAAAAGATATGTAATAATAAATAATTCCATATAAATATACTATAATTAATCTAACTTTAATTCTTGAAATGCAGGAAGAGGACACCGAGACGGAGACGGTGCGCGATGTCGACATGGACGACGAGGAGCGGGAGAGAGCGGAGAAGGAGGGCGCCAAGCCGGGCGAAGGTACCTTGCCTTACCACTTCGTTTTTTTTTGAAATTGAGTATATATATATATATTTATATATGGCCAACGTTGTTACAGGGATTGCGCGCTGATTTCTTTTTTTAAAACTAAAAAAACAAACAAATCGATAATAAGTTTAACTCCTATTTACTACGGTTGTCTGGCAGGCGAAAAGCAGGAGAATGAGACGCCCGCCGAGTCCAACGAAGAAACCCTGGCCACCATCTCCTCCGAGCGGAACAAGATCACGTACGCCACGCCCTCCTCGTGTGTGTGTGTCACACTAACACACTTTTGGCCAATTCGTACAGCAACGCCCGCGAGGGAATGAGGCGGATGCTGCTGCTCATGGACCTGGGCCGCTTCAACTCTGCGTTCGACCACGCCGACCTCTCCATCCGCCTCCTGCGTACGACACACACACGCACACGCACACGCACACGCACACACGCACACACAAAGATGCTAATGATGGCGATGGTGATGATGATGGTAATACAGGCAAGGACGCCGAGGAGCGTCGGAGGGAGATCAAGTTCTGCGCGTCGTACAAGCTCGCCCTGTCGCTGCTGCTCAAGATCAAGCAGCTCCAGCGCCTGGCGCGCGAGGGCACCCCCTCCTCCTCCTCGTCGTCGTCGTCGCTGTCGTCGGTCGTCGCCTCCACGGCCAAGCTGCTGCGCGACAAGAACCCGGCCAGTGGCCTGGCCCTCATCTCGCGCCACCTGACCGAGGTCAGGCTCGACCCCCGCCACGGCGCGCTGCTGCTCAGCCTCGTGGTCGGCATCCAGATGGACCTCGGGAACTTCAACTATGCGGCCGGCCTGGTCCGCCGCCTGCTCGCTGCACAGCTCGAGGCGGCGGCGGCCGACGACGCGTCGGCGGACAGGGCGGCGCTGCTCGAGAAGCTGCGCGAGTGCGAGGAGCGCGGAGGGCGCGGCGGCGCTGGCGGCGATGCGGTGCCGATTCCCTACAAGTGCGTGCGCTGCGGGCACATCCACGCGGGCAAGGTGCCCGGCAGCCACTGCGACAAGTGCCGCGCGCCCATCCGCTTCTGTCACTCGGTACGCGCCGACCATGTGTCGTGTCGTGTGCGCGCGTGCGTGTGTGTTGTGTCACCGGCGCACTCGCTGACTAAAGGAGTCGTGTTTGCAGTCGTACGAGCTGATCGGCCGCTCGCACTTCTACGCGTGCCGCCTGTGCGAGGCCACCTACGCGCACGACACCCCCAAGTGCTCACTGTGCCTCTCGGCCTCGAGCCCGCTCTCGCCTCGCCGCGTCACCACCCCCGCCCAGTGAGTCCCTACACGGCACGTTACAATCGAATGCATTCTTCATCACTATCTTCTTTTTCATCGTCGTTGGTTTGGTTCAAACCTTTGGTGGCCACCAAAGCGGGGGTGGTTGGTGGCAAAAGAGAACAACACGACAACAAAGAACGGAAGAAAGCGACGATTGTGAGGGTGGTCCGAGGGGCGAATGGGTGCTGGGGTGGTGGTGAGGTGAGGTGCGGTAGGTGTGGACTAAGTTGCTAGTTGGCCTGGAAGAAGAAGGAGACGAGGCCGGCGAGGTACTGGGTGATCTCCTTCATGCCCATCTTCGACTCGCCGTACTGCCTGTCCACGAAGGTGATCGGGACCTCGGCTGTAGTTCGAGCAAACAGTTGATTAGCTGCTGTGGTGCCAAGATGAAGAAAGAAGAAGAAAGAAGAAAGAGAAGGCGATGAAGAGGTGTTGTACCGATGGAGTTGCCGATCTGACGCGAGCGGAAGATCATCTCCATCTGGAAGACGTAGCCCTTGGACTCGGTCTTCTTGATCAGCTCCTCAAAGACCTCCCTCTTGTACAGCCTGAAGCTGCCCGTGAGGTCCGACACCTGGAGCCCCAGCAAAAAGTCCGCCAGGTAGTTCGCCACTCGGCTGCAGCCGTCACACGCACACACGACACGCACACGCACACGACACACGCACACGCACACACCACACACACACGCACACACGACACACGCACACACGCACACACGACACGACACACGCACACAGTCAGCGAAGCGAGCTCGAAGCGAAGAAGGAGAAGATGATGATGAAGATGAAGATGAAGATGAAGAAGGTGGATTGCCTGGTGAGCTTCCTGCGGAGGTCCCATCCCCAGACGCCGCCGCCCTGCACGTAGCGGGTGCCGGTCACGACGTCGTAGTCCTTCTCCTGCTGCTTCTTGATCATCTGCGCGATGAACTTGGGCTGCACGCGCACATCACGAACTGACTGTGAGCGTGTGTGCGGTGTGTGCGGTGATGTGTGCGGTGAAGCATGTGCGGTGCTGCGTGGCGGTCGTGCAAGCTAGAGGAGAGGTGGAGAGGTGTACGTGGTGAGACATGTCGGCGTCCATGAGGATGATGAAGGAGCCGCGCGCGAACTTGATGCCGTGGAGGTAGGCCGTGCCCAGGCCCAGCTTGCCCGGTCGAGGCTTCAGCACCTGCCGTGTGTGTGGGCGCACGCCAAAGGGCAAAGTCGAGTCAGGCCACCGCTTGCTTGTAGAGCAGAGCAGAGCAAGACGGGTTGATGGAAGGCTAAGGGGGGATGTACGATGCAATCCCTGTCCTTGGTGTTGAAGATTTGCATGAGATCGGCGCACACCTTCTGGGTGCCATCTGGGCTCGCGTCATCGACAACGATTACCTCCCAATCGATGCCACTGTGATTGATTCGTGATGAAGGGAAGCGCAGAAGGAGGGTGCTCGCATTGAGCAAACACGAACAACATCATGAATTCATGAAAATCAGATCAGAGGGAGAGGGCGTACGCCTTGTTCAAATGCTTATTGATGAGCCAGAGCATGTATGGCAAATTCTCGCTTTCCTGGTACGTGGGAAGGATGATGCTGTACTTGGGCTTGTAGCCCGTCGTCCTGACCTCCTTCTTGTTCGACATTGTGTAGTGTGAATTCAGATGGTGAATTGAGATGACGTTCGTTTGTGCCCGCCACGTCAGCAAAATAAATAAATAAATAAAAAAACAAATACAGCAAACAAATGTAAAGGCAAGACCAAGTCAGGTGCTTGGTGGGTCTTCGAGATTGTGAAGGATGTGGGCGATATGGGGCGGGATGGCCACCTGGGCCTCGTACAGGTGGTGCTGGGTGGCCACCACGCTCAGCCTGGACCGCACGCTCGGCGGCGGAATCGCGTCACACGTCTCCTGTCCCCCGGCCTTCATCCTCTTCTGACCGTCGGCATCGTCATCGCTCTTATCTCTGTTATTGCTGCTGTTGACGACAATGAAGATGACGTTGAGTTGGCTGTTCATCATCATCATTGTCACCAGTAAGTGAGTGAACTGCGAGATGTATGGGGAGTTGTACGGTATTGGCTCGGCTTCGTCATCGTCGTCGTCGTTGTGGTCGCCATGGGCGGCCAGCCGCAGCCACGGGTCCTCGAAGTCGGAGGTGCTGAAGGCCATGGAGAGCGCGATCCGAGGGACCGTCGCACGGCTGCTCGCTCGGCCACCGAAATGAAGAGTTCTGCCGCCTACGCTCCCCACGTTGAGCAATTCAAAACAACCTTCATTCCAAGAACAGCGCAACAACGTACCCCAAGCGAGAACAGACCCAGCCGCGGCAGGGAGTGCCCTCACGTTCTGCACGTCGAAGTCCGTCGACTCCTTTCCACTTGCGTAGTCCTGCACGAATCCGTTCATTCAGTTGCAACGGGATGAGCCTTGTGGTGTGCGGTGTGCGGTGTGCGGTGTGCGGTGTGTGGTGTGTGGTGTGTGGTGTGTGGTGTGTGGTGTGTGGTGTGTGTCACGCGAACCTCGTCAAACAACGCCGGCACGACATAAATGCAGCCATTCTCCGGCGTGGCATCAGTGAACGGAATCCAGGCTGGGCGCGCGAGAGAGAGAGAGACAGTGCAGCCAGTCAGTAGCCTGTCCGGCAGTAGGATTCGCTCCGCTGGCTCATATAGGAGACGTTGTTCAACGCACCTGTGACATAGGCCGGCTCGCCGCGGTCATTGAACGGCATCGTCTGGCGATCCCGGTGTGGCTCCCACCCCTTCTCCTGCAGCACGGGGTCGATGTACCAGGCCCAGAAGTCGGCGTTGAACTGGAGGTCGCAGTTGACCACTTGTCGCATCAGCAGGTGGACGGCGTACGCCATCAGCCACGCCTGGACACGCGTCCAACATTCGCAGGAGTAAGCTCGATCAGTTTGGTGGTGGCGGCGGTAATGACGATGACGACGGTGGTGGTTGTTGTGGCGGCAACCTCGTCGTACATGATGACCCACACGGGGTGCCACCCGAACCGCACGAGAGTGGCCACTGCTTCGGCCAGGAGGGAGACGCGAAAGGGCCACTCCACGCCGGGCATCTGAAGTTGTCGGGTGGTATGTGGGCCGATCGGTCGGGCGTGAGTGATCTCTTTGGAGAAGGTTCGCACCTTGAAGTAGCCATCAGCCAGCATGTCCCCGCGCAATGACGACTCACGCGACTCGCCCTCGCCGGCCAACCTCCTCGCCATCAGCGAACGGAGCCGGGCCTTGGTCTCGTTCACGAAGCGCTCGTCGTTCACCTGTTCACAGCCTCAGCTCAGGCCCTTCACACCTCGAAAAATATAGAGAAAAAAGGGTGAAGTACGTGTAGCGTGGGACAGAGGCGCCGCCAGTAGTGCTCGCCCTCGACGTCTGCCACGCTCTGCAGTCTGTGGGGCGTGGCCCGGGTGTGGCCGGTGTTGAGTGCCACGCAAGAAGTAGCGGTTGATGCATGGAGCGGGGGGGGGGCGTACGGCGGGTGGAGCCTAGCCTCCGCTGTGGACAGCGGCACATGGATCCACCCTACCTGAAGTGGCCGGCTTTCTTCTTCCTTCTCCTCACCCTTCTCTTTGACCTCCTCCCCTTCCTCTGAACTGCCCCTTTCGCCTCTTCATCTTCCATCTAGCACCTATTTCACACTTTTTATTTTCTATTATTTTGTACAAAATTGTGGGCTGCTTTGGTCACAGGTAGAGGGCGCAGACGAACACCAGAACGCAGAGCAACGCAAAGGCTGCCACGAGCCACGAGTCGTCCTTCCTCCCGCCCGCTCTGCTCTTCAGAAGGTGGGCAGACGATGCCGCCGCGACCGCGACGACGGTGATAGTCGGCTTCCTTGTACCTCCTCCTCGTCGCTCCTCCTCTTCTTGTCGCCGGAGGTCGGCCAGGCGGGCCGCTTCGTCCTCCTTGATCGCCGCCTCGTGCCGCTTCCTGGCCCGCCGCCTTCGGTTCTTCTGCAGTCGCAGCGCTGCCCGCATCTGCGCGATCTCGAGCGCCACCCGCGCCCGCTCGCGCTCGTTGCGCAGCCGCTTGGCCTCGAGCGCCTCGTCCCGCTTGCGCTGCCGCTCGCGCTCGCACGCCTCCCCGCCTCCTAGACTCCGCCGGATCTCGACCATCCGCTGTCGCGCCTCGTTCAACTCGCGCTCGCGCTGCTCAAGCCGCTCTCGCTTGCGGGCCTCGAACCGGGCCAGCCGGCGCTGGGCCAATTCGTCGCGCTTGCGCTGGAGCCGCTCGGCCTCGCGCTGGAGCCGGCGCCGCTTCTTCTCCTTCTCGAACAGGAGCCGGTGCCACCGCCGGGTCTCGTCGGGAGTCTCCCACCCGCGGCGCCAGCCGCGGATGAGCTCGCGCCGGCCGGATTGCAGGACGTCGAGGGCGTCCTCCAGCTCTTCGAGCGACTTGGCCCGCAGCTCGGCGAGCTCGCGCTCGCGCTTCTCCCTCCGCTCCAACGCCGTCGTCGGGGCCTGGGTCGTCGTGGGCTTCTTCGTGTCCTTCTTTTCCGTGGCCTTGTAGGCTGGCTTGCTGTGTTGATCACCATTACTCTCGTTCTTCTTCTTCGTTTGCTTGGTTAGCTTTGTCTCTTTGTCTTGCTTCGCGCCGGCGTCGTCTTCGTTCTTCTTCGTCTGCGACTTCGGCTTATTGTCGCTGGTCTTCTTCGTCCTATCGCTTGTTGGCTTTGCCGTCTTCGTTATCTGCGGTTGACCGCCGCCTTCGTTCTTTTTCATCTTCTTCATCTGCCTGGCGATGGCGGCGGGGGTCGTGGTCTCTCCCCTGGCCTTCATCTGCTCAACCACCGCCCGCTTCTCGCTCTTCCTCTTCTCCTTCCGCTCCTCCCGCTCCCTCTTCTTCCGCTCCTTCTTCTCCAGCTTCTTCTTCTCCTTCGCCTCCTCCTTCCGCTTCGCCGCCTCTTCTTCTTTCTTCTGCTGCTGCTCGTCGTTCGCCTTCGTCTGCGCCCCCGGCGATCGCACGCCGCCGCGACGCCCGGCGTACTTTTGGCGCGGCCACCGCACGTAGAACGAGGGCGACGGCGCGTAGACCGACGGCTCGCCATTGTCGACCAGGCCCCGTTTGATGAACTCCACCATGCTCCGTCGCCTCTCGCTGTCCCGAATCGCCTCGAACGCCCTGTCCCTTCCATCAGTACATACTTACGTAATATATATCAATATATAGATATATTCCATATTGTTGGCATATTATAGAAAGTACTATATAAAAAATGCATCAATAAATACCTGGCGGCGTCTTCGGGTTCCTTGTAGAGCACGAACACGAACTCTTTGGCCCACCGCTCGCGCACGGCGAGAATGGGGCCGAACGACGCGAACAAAGCCCTGTCCGTGCGGACGAATCGTCAATCAGCCAGCCCAGCAGCAACTGAGGCCTCAGAGACAAGCAAGGGGTACCTCAAGTGCTCCTTGCGCTTCTCGACGATGAACCGCGCCTTGGACTCGCCTTCTTCCGCCACATCGTCGAACTTGAACCCTGCGCAAAGGAGTGCCGTGCGGGTGTCAGCCCATCGTATGGGCGGCTTGAGGCTTGGCACGAAGCTGTGTGTGTGGTACGTACCTCCCACGAAGATCTTGCGGCCCGACTCGAAGGCCTCCTGGCGCCGCCACACGCTCTTCTTACGCTCCCACTCCTCCCACAGGGCGAGCCGCGCCTCCTTGGTGTCCTGCGCGCGCTTGATGTCGCGCAGTTCCTTGGTGCGCTCGTCGATCTTGCGCTTCTCCCAGAGGAGCATGCGAATGACCTTCTCCTTGCGCTTCTCGCGCGCCCGGGCCTCGATGCGCACTCGCTCCTCGCACCAGTTGGCCTCGAGCCGCTCCAGCTTCTTGACGCGCTGGTCGTCGCGCCGCTCTTGGCTCCGCTGGACGCGATACCGCTTCCAGTCCTGCTGGCCCTCGCGCTCCCTCTGCCGCAGCCTCTCCGCTTCCTGTCGCTTTCGTTCTTTCTCCTCCCTTCGCTTTCGCTCTTTGTCGAGCCTGCGCTCGGTCAGCAGCTGTTCGCGCTTGGCCCGCAGCGACACCGCCCACGACGGCTCATTGGACCCGTGGCGCGGCCGGGCCGCCAACTGCTGCTGGCTTCGGGCCGACGTGCGGCCCTTCATCGCGTCGTCGAAGCCGACGGCTTGGCTCAGCAGCCGGACGTCTCGCATTCCTGTCGACATACAATGATTGAGATATGGTGCCGACCAAGCCCATGGCGGATGCAGGGCGAGGCCACTGCGCACCAGCGACGAGCCGGCTGAGGCAGTACTCCTCGGGTCGTGTGTTCACGCTCAGTCCCTGCAGCAGCATGCGTTGCTTCCACGAGAACGAGTACCTGCGACGCGACACATCAGCACACGACACGACACGACACGACACGACACGACACGACACGACACGGCACGGCACGACACGGCACGACACGGCACGACACGACACGACACGCCACGACACGACACACGCGACACGAGAGGACTGTACGGTATGTCATCGAGTAGGGTGCGGGCGGCGACAGAGTCGAGCAGCCAGCGGTCCGACACCACTTGCAGGCCCAGCTCTTGCGCCTTTCGCACGCGCGAGTCCACCAGTTGGTCCTGCTGCTGCTGTCGGAGCAGTTCGTCCACGTCCTCCTCGCCCACCACCAAGTGGGTCACCTGGTACCACGAGCGCCACCTTAAAGCCCAGCCCACGGGAAAGGGTGGGGAAGCGGAGGGGTACCTGCTTGGAGAGGATGTAGACGATGCGGCCGCCATGGGTGGTCACGAGCCGCTTGAGCGCTTGGCGTCGACCTGCCGAAGCCTCCAACGCGCCCGAGAACGAAACCACTACACCACCCAAGACGGTGCTAGTGGTCTCGGCCCCAGCTCCCGCGACTGGCTCGCCCGTCAGTAAGGGCATGTGGCCTTCTCACACCTCCTCCGCTCTTTCGTTGTCTCTGCTAGCCCCCCCCCCTCTTCATGTTGCTGGTGCCCGGCCGGTTTGGTGAACAAAAGTGGAGACTTGTGGAATTCATACAATGACAGCTCAAAGTTGGTCGCATTCCGTAAATTTTTTAGTTCCTAAGTCTGAGTTTTCTGATTCCTGAAACAAACTGGGAACAACAGGTGGTCTACTACGGAGGCATGGACAGGACGGTGGCGGCCTCGCGCAGGTCCATGCGCCTCGCCCTGCCGATGGGGAGAGATGGGACCAGCAATCAGGGTGGTGTGGTGGCCAAACAAGTGGCTTCCTGTTGCGGAAGAACAACAAAGTGACACAGAGTGGTCCTTACAGCCAGGAGGAGTGGGCCTCGGACTGCACCACGGTCACCGGCAGGCCGCACGACGAGAGCACGCTCTGCGATGACGAGCCGACGATCGCACGCCTGGTGTCCGACACGTCGTCCCTCTTGCCAATGATGACGCTCTACACAAAAAAACCACCTTATCAGCAAACGATCATCGGGCAATGAGTCGATGGTGGTCGTAGATGGTAGGGATACCTTGGCGCCCTGCCTCTTGGCCAGCGAGCACACCTTGTCGCCAAAGTCGCGGTTCGAGCGGTAGTCGAAGCTCTTGAACTCGCAGGTCCGCTGTTGAAATCAAGGAATGCAGGAAATGCCACGCGTGTCTTGTGAGTGTCGTGCTGTGTGTTGTGTGTCGTGTTGTGTGGTGGTTGCGTACGCCTTCGTTCTTGCACAGGCGCAGGAAGTTGGAGCGGATCTCCTCGATGGGGGGACGTTCGGTCAGCGTGTCGGCGATGCGAGACTCGTAGTTGCCGTGGACCAGCAGCAGGCGGTGGTTGCGCGGCACGTTCCTGAGGGCGAAGCGCAGGGCGCGCCTCGACTCCTTCAGGTCGTCCACGCACACCACGTGCACGTTCTCCTCGCCGCCGCCACCGCCGCCTTCATACTCCTCGCGCTCGTACTTGCCCAGCCTGCCCCTGGTCCTCCCCTCGGCCCTGTCGGTCTCTCGGTTCCTCCAGCCGTACTCCTTCTCCTCGTACCTGCTCATGGTTGATGGTGATTGAAGTTGATGTTGGTGATGTTGTTGATGATGATGTTGTGATGTGGTTTGTGTGGAGTAGTGATGTGTTGCGGCAACGGGTTGGATTTTTATAGTTTGTTGGATGGAAGGTGATTGGTCGGTGGGGCATGACTGGAAGCAGACAGTGCACCAATGACAGCATGGAGAAGGGTGCCAGGGCCAATCACGAGTCGTGGAATTCGGCTGCGCAGCGGCCGCCGGCGGGCGAAGTTTGGGCGGTGTGTGCTCGAAGCGGGTGGCAGACAGTGCGTCACGTTCGACGAGCCAACACCATTTCAATTCTTCCTCTTGTCGACTAAGTTCACGTGCGGTGGTGCTTGTAAGGTCGGGCCTGGACAGAATCCCTGAGCGTCTTGGCTTTCGTCTACCCTGTGAGCCGCTACCTATGTGTACGCCACCGATCAGAGGCAGTAAGTACCAGCAGGTCGAGAACGATGAGGAGGCCTGCCAGCTTGAAATCCTCGACACCGCCGGCCAGGAGGTTTGGTGACAAGGTGGTAAGTAATCTCGTGATGGCAGCCACCTCGTGCATCAACGTCGACGAGTCGTTCTTCGAGCTGGTGTGCGAGATCCGCAAGGCGAACAGCTCTCACGACAAGGGCTCGAAGGACTGTAACAAGCCCAAGCAGCAGTGCTCCCTCTCCTAGCCACATTGACACCACACGCGCGCGACAGCTTCGGGATATAAATTCACAGGAATTGAGCAGCCAGCGAGGCTCTAGCCCTGTGCTGAGGGTGACACCAGCTCGTCGCCGAAGTAGATGGTCAGGTCGGGCCTGTGGGCAAGAATCCTCTGAGCCAGGTCTCGGCTATCGTTGACCCTGTTAGCCACCTACGTGCAATCAGAGTGAGTTTGACTGTGTCGCGTGTGTTTTGTGTGCGGTGTGCGGTGTGCCGTGTGCCGTGTGCCGTGTCGTGTCGTGTGGGCTTTTTACCTTGAGCATCCACAGCGAGGAAAAGTGCTTGATGAGCGTCACCAGGGCGTCGGAGTCGGTCTCCCCCCACTGGGTCCGCCCGTAGAGGAAGAGCTGCTGCAGCGAAGCCAGGCGCAGGTGGTCCACATGGCTGCGGCAGTCCAGGTGGAACCCCTCCAGCGAGAGCGACGTGAGCCGCGGCGCGTCGACGCTAAGCCGCCGCAGCGCGGCCGGCGGCTGCTCGGTGCAGATGATCACCAGCTCGCGCAGCCGCGGGTTGTGCTCGACCACCAGTGTAGTGAGGTTGGCCGAACAATCGAACCTGACCGTGGCCAGCTCCTGCATGTACTGCAGCACCACCTCGCTCAGGTTGTGGTAGGAGAGCGCCAGGTGCTCAAGCTTGGGCAAACCTGGGCCACTCACCTCCCATCAGTCCGTTGATGTACGCGACACGACACAACACGACACGACACCCGGGTACCCTTGAGAGTGGCTCGGCCCTTGAGGCCCGTGAAGCCGGCGAGGTCGAGCGAGCGCAGGCTGGTGCTCTTGAGCCCCTCGAGCGTGGTGACGGCGACGAGGCCGTCCATCACCAGCTCGCGCAGGTGGGGCGACCACCCGACGATGGCCTGCAGCATGGCGTCGGTGACCCCCAGGCTCGGGCCCAGGCTCAGGCTCTCCAGCCGCGAGAATGCGAAGCACGCGCGCAGTTCGGCCGTAGAGAGCAGCTGGTCGTCGGCCTCCCACTGGGCCGCGCTGATTGTCGATAAGTGGGGCCAGCCGCGCCGCATGGCAACCAGATCGGACGTCGAGAGGACTGCATCGGGCAGCCGGGCGCGCTGGAGCAGCGGCGTGCCGCGCACCAGGGCGTCCACACCGAGCCTGCCCCAGGGCTGCTGGAGCACGACCAGTTCGACCAGCCGACGGCACCGCAGGCCGGCCAGCTCGAGCGAGTCCGTGTCGTGCGGGTTGAGTCGCAGCCAGAGCGTCGTCAGCCGATCGTGGCGGATCGTGACCGGTGCTCGCGTCTCCCGGCCGGCGGCGGACGACAGCTTCACCATCACCAGCTCGAGCGTACGAAGCGAGGTGGTCGCCTGGATCGCCTTTTCCAGTGCTTGCGCCGGTTCGTCGTTGGTGGCGACGGCGGTGGTGGTAGTGATGTGGACGCGGTGGAGCGCGAGGATCTTGATGCGCAGCTGGGGCAGCTGTTGCAATGCAACGGCGGGCAGTAGGCACTCGGTCAGGGCCAGCTCCCGCAGGGTCGAGCCACGCATCAACCATACGGGCTCGGCCGGCAGGTCGACCGCGTGTAGGCGTAGCTGGCGAAGGCGCGCGGCCGACAGGCCCTGCAGGTCATCGGCGAGCCTGGGCGCTGTCAGCCGAGGCTCGTCGGGTCGGTGGGTGCCAGCCACGTAGTCGAGCTCGGTCAAGCGCAGCATGCGGCCCAGCAGGAAGCGGATCTCTTCGGTGGTGCCTGCGGCCGGGCTCACGCTGAAGCCGGTCAAATGCGAGAAGTCAAAGCCCGTGGCTGGGTCGGTTGCTGTTGGTGTTGTTGTCGACAAGACGACGAGGTCCTTGAGCAGGGCGAGGGCCTTGGACTCGAGCTGGTCGCCATCTTGGTCGCTGAGGCACGGGTAGAGGTCGAGCGGGAACGAGTGGAGGCGCGGCGCGATCTGGGTCATCAGCCGCAGACCGAGCCGCAGCTTGCTTGCGCTAGACCCGTAGTTGGCCGGCAGCCTGAGGCGGGTGAACCGGACCAGGTCCTCGCGCTCCCTGGAAACGAGCCTGCGGTTAGTGCACTGGTGTTGGGGCATTCGAAGAATGAGGCGATTGCCGGATGACGAGGGCGACAAGACAGTGTCACCTGATGAACCGCTCGACTGAGTTCCAAGACTCGCATCTGTCGACGCCGAGCGATGTGAGACGCGGTAGAGGCAGCTCACCCGGAGTACCGGATGTGCCCGGCAGCAGGTAATCCAGGAAGGGGGTGTGGGGGGCGTCGAGACTCTGTGATATTCAACATCATCAACACGACACATATGACACGCACACGACAAACACGACACACACACACGGTCCTTGGGCGCACCTCAAGGAAAGAACACGAGCTGACCAGATTGCGCATTCCTCTGGCCGACAGCATACAACAGTCGGTCAGGTCCAGCTGCCTGCGAGCGTGTCCACTCGGGAGGAATCGTAAGTAGCGTGGCATACATCCCTACGTCTCGGGGACCACGGAGTAGGTGGCAACGATACCTGAGGGCAGGGAACGCACTGAGCAGAAGGAGCGACTGGTCGGTGATGGGACAGCGCGACAGGTCGAGCTTCTCGATCGTGGCCGCAGCGGGGCTCTTGGCCAGACCCGACAGCAACTCGTCGATCCATCTACCACGGGCCGATGTGTGTGAGAGCCAACACCACCAACCCCAGCACCAATCAACGGGCAGCGTAGGTACTCGACGCCGGCTGCGTTGACGACGCGGAGGCCACAGGGCCACAGGGGCGCCGTCAGGACCAAGTCACTCCGCGAGAGCGCTGGGCTGTGATCAAATAAGAAAAAGGCTTAGGCGCACCAGGTAACTACGATGGGGGAGATACGGTCAAACCTGAAGCGGAGCGAAGTAAAGGAGGGCAGAATGCAGAGGAGGCCCAGGCGCGGGGCGTCGAGCAGCCCGCGGTTAGGGTGCTGGACCACCCTGGCAATGTGCTCGGCAACGTCGGTCGTCAGCCGTCGGCCCCAGCGCTTCCTCTTTCTTGCCAGCCTAACCCCCCCACAAATGATTATTATCTTATTTTTTTAATTATAAATATAAATTATTATTTATCATTCCGTTTTTGCTGGGCGCACCTTGCAACTGTGTCCACGAGTGGCACGTCGGCAAAGCGCGCAATCAACGCCTCCACGCACAACAGAGCCAACCCCTCTTTCATCTTCTGATTTGATCTTTTCTGTGATTTTATTTCTTGTCCCAGCTGCTGCGCCTCAGAAAAGAACACGCGCGGCCTCAGGCAAAGGGGCACACGCCCATGCCCTTCTGGACAGCGGGACGTTCGCTGATGGCGGCGATCCACCGATCGATGTTGGGGAAGTCGCCCAGCTCCTTCTTCAGGTTGTAGAACCGATCCACGCCCAACGCCCACGGGTAGATGGCCATGTCGGCGATGGTGTAGTCGTCGCCGACGACGAACTGTCGGCCCTCGAGCCGCTTCTCCAGCACCCCGAACAGGCGCTGCGACTCCTTGAAGTAGCGCTCCTTGGCGTAGGGCACGTCCTCCTTGGCGTACTTGTGGAAGTGGCCCATTTGGCCCTGTGATGGAACGCACAACACACACAACAGTTCAGTCAATGAAGCCTGTTCGGCAGAGAGCGTTGTGAAGTGTGCGATGAGCGCTGAGCGTTACGTACGAGCATGGGGCCGAAGCCGCCCACCTGCCAGAAGAGCCACTCGAGCGTCTCGGCGTGCTTGGTCGGGTCGGCCGGGAGGAACTTGCCGCTCTTGTTGGCCAGGTACAGCAGAATGGCGCCTGACTCGAACACGGGCAGCGGCTTGCCGCCGGTGCCGCCGGTCCTGTCCACGATGGCCGGAATCTTGGAGTTGGGGTTGATCGCCACGAACCTATATGGAACGAACATGGTGCCATCGTGAGCCATTGTTACCTGGTGTAGTGGTTTGGTGGTTGGGGGGGTACCAGGGTTCGAATTGCACGTTCTTGCGGATGTCTATGGTGTGGGCATCATAGGGCAGACCCATCTCCTCCAGCGCAATGCCTGGGTCACATAATGGCGGTCACGGCCTGAACGAGTCTACAGGGGTTTGTAGGGGGGGGGGTGGCTTACTGATTTTTTGTCCATTGGGGGTGGCAAGGGAGTAGAGCTGAATATCAGCTGTGCCAGTGGGAGCTTCACTCGACATGTTTGTAGGTTTGTTGTGTGCGGCCTTGTTGTGGTTGTTTGGTTTGTTGTGGGTGTTTGTTGCGTCGTTGCGTTTTATGTCCTCAGAAACCAGCGATTCGTCGACCAATCGCCGCGAAATTCGAACATCGCCATTGGCTCCTCTCTTTTCCCTTTTTTGTGTGGAATTTCACACAGCGCCGAGAGGGTCGGCTTCGGTCGAAGGCCATAAGTTAGGTAGGTTAGTTGCTATGCAGGTGTTGCAGGCAATACAACTTCGCAATCACTAACTTCTTTCCAGTCGTTCAGTTCGACCAGAGTGTTGTGTTGTGTGGTTTTGGAAAGATGCTCATTGTTGAGGTAGAGAACCAAGAGGGGATGGGGGACACCAGGGTCTGCTTGGGTGTGCTTGGTGCCGAGGAGGAGGCAAGGCGGCGGCCATGGCGGCGGCGGCGGCGGCTTACATCCACGAGCTCTCGCGGCCCTCGGACTGGACGATGGTCACCGGCATGCCGCACGACGAGAGCACGCTCTGCGACGACGAGCCGATGATGGCGCGCCTGGTGTCCGACACGTCCTCCCTCTTGCCGATGATCACGCTCTACACCACCCCCCCCCCGGCCGGGTGAGTATTATAATCCAGCTCCAGCTACAAGTAGACGGACACGGGGTTCATGAAGGGGCGGGGTACCTTGGCGTTGTTCCTCTCGGCCAGCCTGCACACCTTGTCGCCGAACTCGCGGTTGGAACCGTAGTCGAAGATCTTGAACTCGCACTTCATCTGTTGGTAAGGGGGAGAAAGGTGAAGAGGTGTTAGAAAAGGAGGTCAAAGTGGCGATGGTGGTGGTGGTGGTGGAGCTTCTCGTACGCCTTCTTCCTTACACATGCGCAGGAAGCGGGAGCGGATCTCCTCGGGCATGGCGCGTTCGCCTCCGATGCGCCCCTCGTACTTGCCGTGGACCAGCAGGAGGCGGTGGTTGCGCGGCACGTTCTTGAGGGCGAAGCGCAGGGCGCGCCTCGACTCCTTCAGGTCGTCCACGCACACCACGTGCAGCTTCTCCTCGAGCCCCATGTCCTCCTCGCCGCGGCTCCTCCTCCTCATGTTCCACTCCTCGCGGTCGATGTCGCCGTACTCCCTCCTGCCCTCGCCACGGATGCGGTTCATCTTCAGATAGTTGGTAGTAGGTTGGTTGTTGGTTGGGTGCGGTGGTGGAGGATGGGGTGGGTGTGGGTGACCTTCTTATAGTTGCCAAGAACACAGGCCATTGGTCGGCCCACAAGTGGAACTGGAGGCCCTACAACACCCTCCAGGCATTGGTTGACATGGTACAGCTCTCACCCAATCGCCAGAATTTCGAGGGCCGGGCGCTACCTGGTGCACCATGCGCCACCTTCCTCTCCATGAATTGCGGCCACAAGACGAAGAAGAGACGCGGACGAAAGTGCCAAGGTGTGTACTTTTTGGGGCGTACAGGGTTGTACTTGCTCTCTTCAAACGTTTACATAAAGTACTGGTCGTGTGCCTTGGTACTGGTCGTATGTTTGCGTGCTCCGTCTCCCCACGTCCCCCCCTACGTTGTGTGCGCCCTGTTCGCTGGATTCGCAGCAGTCGTCGAAAGTGGTCTTGTAGAGTTGTAGTGCCTATGTCTCCTCCATCAACGTCGTTCAGACTTCGGTGAAGGGCAGCGACGTGGTGAAGGGAGCAGGCCCGCTCTGGGGCGCGTTGGCCGCCGCGTTGTTGGCCGCGAGGGGCTGCTGGACCTGCTGCTGAGGCTGGGCCTGCTGCTGGGTCGTCAGCTGACCCGGGAGCTGCAGCATCGAGTGGTGGCCCGCGAGGAGCGCGAGCTGCGTCGGCAGCTGGAGCGGGGCGCCGTGGTTGGCCATCGACTGCTGCCAGGCGCCGAGGTAGTCCATCTCGCCCTCGTCGCCGGCAGAGCGGCCGCCGTGGCCGTGGTGAGCGGCGCCACCGGCCGAGCCGGCCGAGGAGGAGATCGACGACGATGATGAAGTGGAAGAGGCGTGAGTCGGGTCGGACGAAAGGTCGACGAGCTTGTTGGAGAGGCTGGAGAAGTCGCTCACGAGCCACTGGGGCAGGGCGTCGCTGGGGGCGGCGGTGGCGGCGAGCGCACCCGAACCGGGGGTGGTGGAGGCGCTGGTGCCGTTGTTGATCTTGCTGAGCTCCCACTGGCGACGCTTCTTCCTCTGGTAGGAGTTGAACTGCTGGACGTCCTTGATCATGTCCTGGAGCGTAGAGTTGTAGGAGCGCAGCTCGGTCAGTTCTCTGACCATCTCCTGTGGTATCTCCTCGAGGCACCGCTCGTCGTCGCTCGACTTGCCCAGGTCGAAGCAGAAGTCGGCCTCTTCTTCCTTGTCGCCTGCGGCGGACTCCTTGGCCTCGGCGTCGTCGGTGTGGGCAAAGGTCATCGAGTCGAGCAGCGAGTCCTTCCACGAGAGCTTGAGGTCCTCGGTGGTGTTGATGGCGATGGAGGTGAAGTCGAACTTCTTGACCGTGGTCAACGAGCTGCTGGAGGTCGAGGAGGTGGAGGTCGAAGATGATGAACTGCTGGCGGACAACGGGGTGGTCTTGCCCGCTACGCTGCCGCCCTCGAGCACCTCATCTTCGGCGACGTCGAAGTAGAAGTTCTTGGAATCGCTCTCGCCGCCGCTCTCGCAGCCCTCCCCGCTCTCGTCGAGTCGCCTCCTCCGGCCGCGCTTGAGGCCGACAGTCTCCATCTTGGCGGGCTTCTTGAGAACACGCTTCTTGCGCGGCACATCGACGCATGTGGACTCGCAGCCTGTGCGGATGCATCGACGGCAGGGGCGCTCTTCGTCACATCCTGTGAACAAAGATGGCAAGGTGAGTACGCCATTTTCAGGACAACCGCGAATGGCTAATAATCCCAGAAATTTCGACTTGAGTGATGTGAAAAATGGAAAAGTTTTGGGTGAATGGGCCGGCGCAAGCACGTACGGGCATGGGCCTTGCGGCAGCTGAAGCAGGCACGCTTGACTTGCTTGCGCTTCTTGTGGTTGGGTCCTCCATCCTCATCCTCTTGATCCGGGTTGTCATCGTAATCGTCGGGCGAAAAGCACAGATCTTCAGTCAATGGCGAAGACATATTGATTTTGTTTTGTATAGTCGATTCGATTAGATTGGTCGGAGAGTGAGGAAGAGCCGAAGAGCTGAGGATGGACACACGAAGAGCGGAAACCGGCGGGACGAAGCAGCAAGAGACAAGAAGAAGGCCAGAGCACGGCCAGGCGCGCTTTTTATACGTTGGTCGCACGCCTGTAATGAAAACTCGCAACCGGGGTGACGCAGGGAATTTTCCGAACTCCGATCACATTCCCAGCGTTCCGATTGGCAGCACATGCCCGCACTAATTAACCGCGTGCCTCGATTTTGCACCTTTTCTGCATCTTCGCCGTCTGGTTGGTCGCCGAAGGGGCACCGTACTCAAGGCGAGAGGGCGCTGGCAACGCCGTTGCTGTCCTCGGGTCGCTGTGAAGAAGAAGAAGAAGGGGCACGCGGCCCAAGGGCAGGTCCATTCACCCTCGCGTTCCTCTTTGGGTGGTGTGGCGTGCCAGCGTGAAGAGACCTGCACTTGGGCCTCTCTTCGCCACGCCGTCGCACTCTCCCGGACACTGCATCACGATGACGAGGTGCTCTGCCTCCTCGCACTCCAGATCCAGTCCATCAACGCAGCGGCCCTGATTGATGCGGTCATGAGGCTTCTCCTCGGCTGAGCCCTCTCCTCTCGTGCATGGGGGAAGGAGTGAGTCTAGGCGAGCAAGCGAAAATGCGAGGGAGGAGAGAGCAGCAGGCATGCTGATGAGAGGGTGGCACGGATGATTTGCCGCAGCTGCCCCGAGCTCACCACGCCAAGAGCTCTTCTTCTTGCTTCTCTCGCTCCGCTCCACGCCGCCGCAGCCGCCTCGCCGAAAGCCCAGCCATCCCCGCGTGCCTAACGATCATCGCTTGTTTATTGCCCACGATACCGACCCTTCAGTGCTTCCTGCCATTCTCGCAAGGGTATGACGGCCTCGGACGAATCTGTTATAGTGTTTGTGTTTGTGTGTCTGCGTGTTATGTAGCGTGATGCCACGCGGGATCAAGCCTCGGAGGCTATCCCCTTACTCGGCCGAAGGCGAAGGGCTACGCCTGGTCTCCGCCTTGGGGGAAGAAGGTCTGGCAAAGAAGAACAAACAACAACTTTGATCAGTACAAAGTCTGGTCGTGACGAGTTGATGGGCGCATGCAGGTACCCGTTGTCAGGTCGCGGAGAAGCGGCCTTGCCATTGTCCTCCTTGGCGGGAGTACGGCTCCTGTCCCTCCTGGGCGAAGGGCTCTTGCCACGGCTGGCGGAACGGTCCCTGCTGCGCCTGTCCCTAGACCTCGAACGCCTGGGCGACCTGGCCGTACGCGGTGGTGGTTCAGAGCCGCACGAAATAGAATTGGAACATACAATCTAATCGGGAGGGATCTTAGGCGTGGGGTACCTGGAGCGAGAAGGGGAACGGCTGTCCCTGCGCCTGTCCCTGGAGCGAGACCTGTCCCTCGATCGGGGCGAACGCGAGCGAGATCGGGAGCGCGAACGAGAACGGCTCCTGCTGCGGCTCCTTCCACGACGGCTGCTGCTCCTGCTGTAGGGGTGGTAGCGATCGCCACCGCGGCCCCGGCATTCGCGGGCGAAGTGGCCGACCTCGCCGCAGCTGTAGCAGGCGCGGGCAGGACCCGCGCCGCGCCTGTCCCTGGGGTCCATCCTGCTACCACCGCGAGGACCCTCACGACAGTCCCTAGCCCAGTGGCCTTCCTTGCCGCAGGAGAAGCAGCGACCCTCACCGCGATGCGAGGGTTCGACGGAAATGCGGGCACCATCGAGATCGTTGCCGTCCATTCCGCGAACAGCATCATCGGCATCGCGAGAATCTGTGGATGTGCCATCGAATTTTAATTTTTAAGAGTCCATTAGCGTTCTGACGATCGGCTGCGTAGAATCGTTAACGCCATACCGTTGTATTCGATGAAAGCGTAGCCGGCCTTCATGTCCAGACGGATGATGCGACCGTACTTGCTAAAAGCATCTTCAAGATCGCGCTCCCTCGTTCGGGAGGACAGACGACCGACGTACACCACACAATTGGAGCCGCTCATCTCTTCTTCTTCCGTCCAGGCGAGCGAATGGAGCTGGCGTCTGGAGGCCGAAGCGGGGTGGTCACGAAAAAACAAAGAAAAGTTTTGTCCGTTTGCCGCCAAGAAGCCATTCCCTGATTGGCCCACGTATCTGTCCGCAATAAAAAGAATTCTATTTTTGTATTTGGCTTGCAACCGCATCGTCGGTAGGCTTGATGTAGAAGACGCGTGGTCTGGCTGGCACTCAGGTCTCACCTCCTCTCGTGCCGTCCCGAGCTTTCAGAGGAGTCGTCTCGGCGCCGCTTCCTGTCGTCGTCCTTGTCGCGCGTAGAACGAGAAGAGGAAGAGGAGGACTCGCTGGCACGAGACTCCTCTCGCTCCCTCTTGACGCCCCGGTCGTCGCCTCCTCTTTCGCTGCTCCGTCGGCTGCTGCGGCTGCTGCTTGACGAGCTCCGGCCTCGCTCCCTCTCCCGCTCGCGCTCCCTCTCTCGATCGCGGTCTCGCTCCCTCTCACGTTCGCGGTCCCTGTCCCGCTCGGGCTCTCGCTCACGCTCGCGGTCTCGATCCCTGACGTCCCTCTCGCGGTCGGCGGGCCTGCTGCTGCTGCTGCTGTCCGAGGAGCTCCTGCTGCTCTCCCCCGCGGCGGGCCTCTCGCGCTCTCGGTCGCGGTCGCGATCGCCGCGATCACGGTCCCTGTCCCTATCGCGGTCTCGGTCGTGGTAGTCCCTATCGTCCCGGCCGCCGCCGCCGCGGTACATGTCGTCCGGGTGGTCCTTGAAGAAGGCCGGATTCAGGTGCGCACCCGGAACCGGCACTGTTCGCGCCCAAGTGACCAAATCACACCATGTTAGCCTTAACGCACGCACCGGGGGGGGGGGTCAACGTACTCATGGGGAAGAAGTCGGGTCCGTAGGGCGAGTGGCCCATGATCCCGCGGCCGCCCGCGCCGCCCCGGCCGATACCGGGCACCATTCCGCCGGGGAAGCGCACGAAGGGCACGGCGCCGGGCATGCCCGGGGGCATCGGGCCGTCGGGTCCGTACGGTCCCGGCATGAACCCACGCCCGCCCGGACCCGGTGGGTAGCCTGCCGCATGACATCAAACACCAAACACCAACAACGAGGAGCGTGAGACACAACGTCTTCCACGCACCATTCGCGCGGCTGTACGTACCGCGTCCGCCCATGGGCGGGCCTCGCGGCTGCGAGGACGGGGGCGCGTTGGGCCCCGATGACCGTTGCATGGGCGGTCGACCGCCGCCGCCCATCATGGGCGGAAGTGACGGCCCGCCTGTGGCGCATACGGATTCCGTGAGTGAGTTTCGAGTCGCGATCCCCTCTCTATTCACCGCTATAGTTTGGGCGTGCTCCTGCGCTGTACCTTTCTTCCCGGGGTTGTTGAGCTCGGCCAGCGTCTGAGGGGAGACGAAGTTGACCATCACCTGCTTGTCGTGAATCGTGCTGTAGTGCGTCGTGTCGTGTGTCGTGTGTCGTGGAAGTGAGCATGCTTGCGCCAAGCACCAAGGCACGGTGGGAGGTGGGAGCGGGGAGGGAAGGAGACACGTACTAGCCCTGGAGCTTCTCCTTGGCCTGCCGAGAGGCCTCGGCGTCATAGTACTCCACCAGCGCGTAGCCCTTCGAGCGCCCGTTCTGCTTGTTCTCGAAGAACTTGACCTGCTTTACCTTGCCAAACTGCGAACAAACGTCCTCCAGATCTTGATCGGTCGTCCACTGTGAGTCGTGTGTCGTGTGTGGTGTTAGTCGCAGCGACCGAAAAGCTTAGGGCGAAGCAATAGGCTCGGCCAACGAACCCAGGTCAAGTTGCCGATGTACAGAGCGGGCACATCCTGCGGTCCGGTGGCCGTCTCTGCGTAGCATGAACGCAAGAGCGCGTCTGTTAGTTTTTCCCTCGCATTGCCTGCGAACCGAAAGAGCAGTTGTGAAGGAGCGACGTACGGGGCTGCGGGGCACCGCCGGCGCCGCTGCCGGGGTACTGCTGCGGTGGTCGCTGACCGTACTGGCCGGGAGGCGCTCGGGCTCCCGCGTACCCATGCTGCGGCCCAACAGAGTAGGGCGGTCCGCCTTCCTGCTCGCTCGTTCCCAAAACACATACGCACGCGCACACGACACGCCAGAGAAGAGATGGTTAGTCGCACCGCCGCCACATAAGCACGAGCTCTCCGCCCATGTGCCGCTTCTCAAGCGCGAGCCCCTCCTTCGTCTATTCCCCTCGCAGTGCTAAAGAGCTGTCCGCGCGGAGGCGCAGAAGGCCTCTCTTTCCCCACGACGTGGGGGCACACGAGCGAACGAGCGAGCGAGAGAGAGAAGTGCAGGACGGATGGATTTATCATCAACATCAGCATCGCTGCTCAGCCCGAGCATGTACATCGCTAGGATGCGCGAGAGAGTAGAAGAAGGAGAAGAGAAGAAGCACAACAGCCGGCAGCCGGCAGGGCGTACACCCACCACCAACCCACCTCGGCCGCCGCCGCCACCACAGCTCGGTGGTGCGAGCACACACCGGAGAAGACAACACATCGCCTCTCTTCTTACATCCTTTCCTTCTGGCACGAGTGGGCACCGCACCTTGTTCTGCTGTGGCCTATCGCCGCCAGCGGGATACCGTTCGCGCTCGAGTCCGCGCCTGCCGCTGCTGCTCCTGCTGTCGTCTTCGTCTTCCTTGTCACCGACTTCGTAGAGGTTGAGCTCGAGATCTTCTTCGCCCGCTCCTTCGCCTTTGTCTTGATCTTGTGCCTCAGTCTGCGTTTCCTTGCCACTCGCGGCGGCACCCGCGTCGCTCAGATCGCCGTACAAAAGGTCATCCTCGTTGTCCTGGAGTACATTCAAACAATCATCAGGATGAATTTCCAATTGATTGATTGCGGAGGGGGTGGCAATTGGAGAGCGCTGGGTACGTACAGCTGCTTTCGAATCAGCACCCCCGGTCAAATCATCCCCATAAATGTCAAAGCCCTCCTCATCCATGATGGTTGTTTTAGGCACGCGCAGATGTGCTGTTGTTGCCTGATCTTGCTTTTTGTCTTCACTGTCCGCAGAAATTGATATTTCTAGTATTTTTATTTTTGAATATTTATTTTCGGCAGCGCAAGTCAAGCCACAAACACACCACTTCTTAGGCGGACTTCTTCTTCTTCTTCTTGTCCTTCTTCGAGGGCGTCTCGTCCTTCTTGGCCTTCTTGGCCTTCTTCTTCTTCTTCTTCTTTTCCTCCTCGGACGAAGAGGAATCGGAATCCGAGTCCGAGTCGGAATCGTCCGACGACTCCTCCTTCTTCCTCTTCTTGCTCTCCTTCTTCTCCTCCTTGTCGGCCTTGGGCTCCTCCTTGATGGTGACGTCGATCTTCATCGGGGTGGTGGGCGTCGACTTGACCGGCGCGGGCAGGGCCTCACCCTTGGGCACGTTGTAGTCAACGTAGGTGTTCTTCCACTCGCTGGGCGTGTTGTCGTTGGGGCGGCCGAACTTGTCGAGCTTGCCGTCCTTGATCAGCTGCTTCTTCAGCTGAGCCTGTTAAAGAAGAGACGATGATGGTGGTAAGAAGAGAGGAATGGAAAGAACAGAAGAGAAAGGAGACGTACCCTGGGTCCCTTGCCCCACCTGCGGGGGTAGGTGTCCCTCTCGAGGATCACCCTCTTGATCTTGGCGACGACGCCGTGGTCGCACGAGGCCATGTCGGCGGTGGACATCTGCGCAATGCCGAGCGCGATGGCCTCACCCTTGGTGGTCATCATCACGATCTCCTCGCCGACCTCAATGCCCTCCTCATAGCGGAGCAGACCAGGGATCATGAACTTGGCACCTACAAAGAAAACATCATCGATGATGACGTCAGCAACCCAAACAAAGCGATCCATTCACATCGTGGTTGAGCGAAGTGAAAGTACCGTAGCAGATGGCGTTGACGGCAGAGTCCTTGACGACCACGCGCTTGTGCTTGGTAAGGAGCACCTCGAGGGGCTGGATGATGCGACGAAGGTAGGACTCGTCCTTGGTGGTGTCGTAGACGTACTGGGCATCCAAGATGTCATGGCAAGTCACCAAGCAGTCCTTGGCCTGGAGAGAATGTGGTGAGCCAACTTCGCACGGAGATCTCTGGGCGCAGTCAAGGGCACATCATGCAGGCAACGAAACGTACGTTCTCAGTCAGAAGACCGGACCTGACGCGCCTGAGCTCCTGCATGTGACCGCCGACGCCGAGGAGAAGACCCAAGTGGACGCAGAGGGTACGGATGTAGGTTCCGGCCTCGCAGTCGACCCAGAAGATACCGAGGTTCCTCTCCTTGTCGAACTCGACGAGCTTGCTCTGGTAGATGGTACGCACGCGCAGCCTCCTCTTCACGGCGGCGATCAGCGGGGGACGCTGGAACAGCGCACCGGTCAAAGTTTCGATGGCCTTGGCCAGCTTGGCCTCCTCGTCGATGGCGCTGTGCAGGCGGACGACGGCGACGTACTCCTTACCGGCACCCTGCTGGGACTTGACCAGGCGAGTAGCCCTCTGGATGCACACAAGCAAGCAACCTACAAACCAACCAAAAGATTGTTAGGAGATTAAATCTCGAGTAGAAAAATGCAGGAGAGAAAAAGTAGGTAGAAGCTTACCGGTGACCTTGGGGTCAAGGGTGCCGCTGTGACCGGTCTTCTCGACGCGGAGGATCCTCTTGATCCAGGCCACAACCTCGTGCGAGGAGGGGTTGGAGGGCTTGTCGAGGTTGATCACACCATAACGGACGTAGTCATCGAGCGGGCGCTTAAGCGGCGAGTGACCGGTGGGGATGGGGGTGTAGTGTCCGGTGCGGACAAGGAGCTTGTCGTAGTTCTGTGGTCGTCAAATTTGCCAGTTGCAATGTCCGAAAAATGTAAGAAAAAATGGATCAAATGAAGTTTGCGGAGCACGCAAATGATCCGCGGAGATGCTGAGTGAAGTGTGGGGGAGTGAGGGAGTTGTGTATATAGGCGCACCTTCAAGAGGAGTGGCCATTTGGAGGTATCAAGGACGGCACCTTTAGCGGCGGGCGAAATGGAGAAATCGCCTCCGGCCTGGGTCTCTCCGAGGGTCTCCTTGGACTTCTTCTTCTCCTTCTTAATGTGCGCTGCAGATGGCAGAGCGACAAATGCCCAGATTAGCGCGGAGAATGGAAAAATGGAGTGCATTCATTTCTGAATGAGCCGCAATCGTTCCAGTGGCTGATTTAAATTGATTCGGGGGTTCATCGCCGGTCTACGTACACATGATGAGCAGTGGGGACAAATGAAAATGAACTGGAAGATGGATACTCCGCTCTGCTGTCCTCGGGTCCACAATCCACACCGCCGGCCAAAGAGAAAGAAGAAACAACTTGGAAGCTGAGTTGGCTTCAACCCCGCGACAAGTCGATTTCAAAGCTGCTCCTCCATTGGTCGAGCTTTTGAATTGTGAATTGTGCACATTTCGTGCAATCAACTATTTTACTTGTTTTTTTACAATCTTGTGGTGTAGAGATGGAGCAGGGAGACGAGCAGGGGCGTGGTGTCAACGTGCGGAAGGAGGCCAAGAAGCCATTCCTTGACATACAGGAGGAGTTCAAGGGCGCCATCGTATACCTGGACGGCCCTGCGGCCGAGATCGTGCAGTGGACCTTTGGTGGTCTCGATTTCTTCTTTGGGCTCGGTGCCGAGCATGTGACCCTCCTCCCACCCGCCTCGAATGGGTGCGTGCACTCCTTCTCTCTACGTGCTCTGGTGCCAATCGCTAATCTGCTGCCGCACGCGTCCAGCAATAAAGATGAAGATTCGCACTCAGCCACCCTAGTCGGCTTCACCTCTACTCGTGCACTCATCTTCATAAGTACTGCCCCTCTTTCGCGATGACGAACATCGATCATTGCCTATTGCCGCTCTGTGCACACAGCACTCATCGTCACCGTCACCAGGCTCGTACCTGCCAGAGTACCGGGACAGCTTGAAGCGAGTGCTGGAGAGCGGCACGTTCACCGAGTGCGTGGTGTACTCGGGCCTGCCCGAGTCGGCCCATTCGCACTATCCCGAGCTCGGCGGTGGCCTCTTCAAGTACGCACGCCAAAACGAACACACACACACGGTCCCTCTCTGACCCGTCGATTTATTTTTATGCTCACCTCGTCATTTGCGCGTGTGCGCGTGCGGCCAGCTCCTATATTCGAATGATGAAGGATTGGATGAGGAAGAAGCAGACCAGCAAGTTCATCTCTCCGTATGGGCACTTCATCACCACAGATCCCTCGAGGCCACACACACACACACGACACATGCGACTCATACGGCACACACGACACCTCCAACACACCCACACGATTTGCTCTTGCACGCCTTTTCACTTTTCTTGTGCTACTTGCTACACAGGGTGGCCGTAGTGATACCGTTCCCGCTCCTGTACAGCCCGTTCCTGCCACACACATTCTTCCTGCCGCCCTGCTACGACGTCTTCCCGCCCGTGCAGCTGCCCGAGCACGTTCCCGAGTCCCCGCACGGGTACTTGTCCGCGCCCACGGCCTTGGTGGTCCAAACGCGCGTGGCATGCTTGACATTCCTTCTCTGACCTGTCGGCCCCTTTTGTGCGTCCCTCCACGCGAGCAGGCCCACGCTCGAGCAGCTACCAAAGCACTATCAGGTACCCAGCTGCGACGACCTCGTCATTGGTGAGTGAGCTCACCAATCAACTTTTATTCTCTCTCCAGCTTGCGGTGAAGCGATTGGCCAACGTGCTGTCGCAAACCATGCGACAGTGGGGACTGAAGGAAGACATATACCCGATCGGCCACGCGGCCAAGTTCACTGGTACCCAGTCCACAACATCAACGTAAGTGCAGTGCCGTGTCCGCGGGTCTGTGGCTTACACCCTCGCGCGCGCGCGGTCACCTTCACAGCGGGCGAAATGAACAAGCTGGCCGAGCAGGCGCAACACGCCGCAACGCCGGCGTCTCCGCGTTCGGCCACTCCCGTATCCCTCATTCTCATCGACCGCGTACGTGGTCTCACACACGCGCTCTAGCTGGCTCGAGCACCGCACGTAGCTGATTTTGCTAACACACGCACACGACACGCACCCGACACGCACTATGAAGACCATTGATTTGGTGGCGCCGATGCGGCACACGGCCAACGTGTTGGATCGCATACGCAGCGTGCTGCGATCGCCCTCGCCCACGTCGAACGATGTCGCCATCGACCTGCGGCCATTCCTGTCCGACAGCCCCGTTCACATGGACGACAGTACCTTCTCCTCTCTAGCCACCATTTCGCGCCAACACATCTCTACACCCTTCCTTACCCGCGTCGTGTGTGGTGTGTGTGTGTGTGTGTGTGTGTGCGTGCGTGTGCGGTGGTGTTGTGTGGCGCAGATTTCCTCCCGTACGGTTCGTTGATACCGCGAGAGGACAGCAAGGCCAGCAATTCGATATTCAAGACGCTGGCCACCAAAACACAAAAGGACGCGTTGAACGCCATCCGCAAGAAGCTCATGAACGTCATCACTCAGGAGAGCCTGCCGCTCCAGTCCAAGTCATCTGTACACGACACGACACGACACGACACGACCAACGACACGACCGACACGACACGCGCGACACACGCCACCACCAAGCATCCGCTCACAGCGTTGCGTGCTGATCTCCCACCTTTTTATCATTTTCCAGAGCTCTGCGGTCACCCCGGCGCGGCTGTTGGCGCTGCTGCGCCCGTTTCAGACCGATGTCGGCGCTTTCTATCGCCACGCCGGACTAATGCAGGTACGAGCACTACGCGGGTTGCTCGTCTCCAATGCTTGTCGATTCACCTCTGGAGTGTGTGTCGTGTGTGTCGTGTGTGTGTCGTGTAGTATGCCGCGGGGGTGATTTCGGCGCTGCAGCAGTCGGATAAGAGCACCGCATGGGAAGAGCTGATGGGGGTGGAGAAGCTCATCATCCACACCGTCAAGGACCCATCCGAGAAGAGCTCCCTCCAGCAGCTCGTCGAACTCCTCTCCGTCGGTGCGTAGTAGCCAGGCGGCCTGCGGAGCTGAGTCGCGACTCAGACTGACGGCAGTGGCCACACACGACGCACACGCACACGCACACGCACACGCAGGCAAGTTCACGGCGGCGGACGTGGTCGGGCTGGCGGTGATGGCCCACTCCCTCCTGGGGCAGCGCTTCGCGCGCGACGACGACAAGGCCTTCCAGAAGGCTCTCGTCGCCAACCTCATCGACTTTCCGCAGGTGCGCCGCGCCACACGTGCATTCCTTCTGCATACGTTACATTGCAACTTACCATTCATTCATTCCCGACATTCCGTGCATGCCGTTTGCTCTTGCATTCCAGGAATCGCTGGACTGGTTGGGCGATGCTGACGTGGCCCACATGCTGCGGCAGCACTACCGGGCCGCCGCCCAGGAGGGGTCGGCCGCCGACGACGCGGGGGAGGGGGAGCGGGAGGTGCTGGCGCGGCAGCTCCAGCTGAGCCTCAAGGACGTGATCGAGGATCGCATGGACCGCCTCCGCGGCACCGCCGACGTCCGATCGTCACTCAAGCTGCGCGACTATGCGTACGCTCACCGCCTCCACCCCCCCCCCTCGCCAACTTGTCTCAACGAAACTCACCGTGTGTCGCGTGTGTGTCGTGTCGGCGTGTGTCATGTGCCGTGCGTGTCGTGTCATGCCAGGAATGTGATGGGGCGAGGAGCCGGCGGAGCGGCCTACACGTCGCTGGTGGCGCGGGTGGCGCGAGACAGCGTGACGCGCGACGGCGACGCCGAGCTGCACGACCTCGAGAAGCACACCTCCACCGTCGCCCTCTCCGACCTGCTCGGCATGGCCTCCTCTCTCGGGTACTCTCTTCTCTTCATGTCTCACTCCATTTCTCCACCACACGCTCTCACTGCACACGCCCTCACCGCACACGCCCGGCCGCACACGCCGCACGACAGGCTGGGTCGATTCGGGTTCGGGCGGGGCAAGACCAAGGCCAAGCCGAGGCCCAGCGACAACAAGACCATCGTCATCTTCGTGATCGGGGGCATCACCTGCGCCGAGATCCAGGAGGCCCTCCAGCAGGTCGCCGACAGCGTCGGAGGCAAGGAGGAGGGCGACGACGACCAATATCAGGTGTTGATCGGCAGCACCAGCCTGAGCACCGCCAGCGGCGTGCTGTCCCATCTGTTTGCCGCCGAGCAGCAACAATGAACGAACGAAGCAAGTAACGATTACAACAAACATCATCATCATCAACAGCGAACAACAACGAACAACGAACAACGACCAACAAGAAGAAGGCTACTGGCCGCACAGCCGTCGGTAGCATGCCGTGCAGTGGGGTTGGCCGTTTCGTGGGTAGAACGCACCGCCGCCGCGCTGGCCCATCAGCTCTCCACTGTCCCGCGCACGCACCGCACACGCAAGGGTTAGCAAAGGGAGGGACCACGACAGTGAAGGTGGTGGGGGGGGGGGAAGTGCCTGCAGGCGTGGCAGACGAAGCAGGCGGGGTGCCACCGGCGGTCCATGGCCTGCACCACGCCGCCGCCGTACTCATCGACGGCTTTTCCGCAGCGCCCGCACGCCCTCAGGTCCGCCGAAACCTGGGCCCCAGCCGGCGACGCGCTGATCAGCTTCTTGGGCGGCACCGGGGGCGGACCGCCCGAGCCGCTGCCCGCCCGCGCGACCGGCGGCGAGAAGTCCTTGGCGTCGGTCTGCGGGCTGGTGGCCTTCAGGTGCGTCAGCATGTCGGCCATCATCGAGTTTAGCTCCGAGTCGTCCTCCGTCGTCGACGACGCTCGACCACCGCCAAGCCCCGCCGTCGCCGCGTTCGTCGTCGACACCGTCGCGCGGGGCGAGAAGCTGGGGCGCGGGGCGAGGCCCGGCCCGGCGCTGGGCGTTGGCAGAGGCGGCACCGGCGGCCTACTGCCCATGGGCGGCGCGACCGGTGTGGTGGTGTAGTAGAACTGGCGCGGCTGCTGGGTCGTGGCGGTGGGCGAGGCCCCAGGCGTGAGCGGCTGCAGGTGCGGGCCCCGGGCGGCCATCATCAAGGCCGCAGCCGGCACCGGCGACAGCGGCGGCAGGTGCGACGGCGGCGTGAGCGGCGACGACATCATCGTCGTGTGGTGCGTAGTAGTGGCCGGCCGTGACGTCATCGTCATCGTCGTCGGCGGCGGCGTGTGGCGGGGCTTGACGGCCTGGGCCATGATGCGCATCCGCTCGATTCGGTCGCGCATCTCGGCCATGCCCCGCTCGGCCTCGCGTCGCTCGACCTCCTCCCTCTGCCGCTCCTCGTCGTCTCGCTTGGCCGCCTCGTCGCGCAGCAGCAGCCGCGCCATCTCCAGCGTCACCCGCGCCCGGCCCTCCGCCTCGCGCCTCCGCCTGGCCCGCTCCTTCTCCTCCATTCGCTCCAGCTCCCGCTCCAGCTCCCTCAGCTCTCCACCGCCATCGCCGTCTTTGATCTGGGCCTGGGCCTGGGCCTGGGTCTGATCGCCGCGCTGCTCGCCGATCACTGTGGCGGCGTCGCGCTTGCGCCGCACGCTGGGGCCGTGGACGCCGAAGCCACCTCCGCCGCGGCCGCCGATCTGGGAGCCCTGCTGCGATCGAATGCTGCGGCGCACCTCCTCGGCCCGTCGCCGCAGCACCGTCACCTTGCGCTCGGCCTCCTTCAGCGCCTCGTGCGCCTCGTCCGACGACTCATCGCCACCACTCGCCGATGTGGGCGAGAGCTGCGGCGAGGTTAAGGTGGCGGGTGATGTGGTGGCGGCGGGCTTGGCGGTGATGGCGGTGGTGCCGCCCTTGGTGGCGACGTAGCCGCGGCGGAGCGAGCGGGCGTAGGCGTCGCGCATGCGCTTGATGTCGTCCCGGATCTGCTGCTCCTCCTCGCCCAGCCGCGCTAGCAGGGCGTCGAGGTCCTGCTCGGCCCCAACGCCGCCGCTCGGGTGGTGGTCGAGGTGGTCAGGGTGGTCGAGGTGGTCGATCGCGTCGTCGGCGTCGGCGTCGGCGTCGTCGGCCGAGTGAGAGGGGCCGGCGGGCGAAGGGGTGGGTGAGGTCTGGAGGTGGGCCATGAGCTGCTCGAGTTCGATTTCGAGTCGCTCCACGGTCTGCGCTCGCGCTCGGCCTCTCGACATGACGACGATGCTGATGACGATGGCGATGTCTTGAAGGTGGTAGCAGCTTGCTTGTGCTGTGGGTGGTGTGTGGTTTGTCTGTGGCCACTGTTGGTAGGACTGTTCACAACAATTAATTTAACATACAATTATGATGCTACAAACAAAAAGGGAGAAAGACAAGATAGCTAGGAAGAAGATGGAAAAGAAGAGGGGAAGGAAAGAGAAGAGGTGAGGTGAAGTAAGAAAAGGGAGTAGATGAGGAGCAAAAGAGAAGAGAAGAGAGGAGTAGAGGGCGAATTGATAAAAAATAGGAGGCGAGGGAAGCACGTACCGGTAGTGGTGTTTTTGCAAGCCAAGGGCAACGAAGCGGTTCAAGGTGGCTGCAAGCTTGGTTGCGCCTTTGCCCAAACGAAAGAAAGAGAAGAGCTCCGAATTTTCATTGGCCGGGCTACAGAACTGAGGAAAAATCATTTCTCTCAGTTTTTCTTTTTGCTTTTTTGTTGACCTTGTTTGACCACTCGCCACGCGGCGCAGTGCCACACGCCACGTCCGCTCGAGACAATGTTGGAATATGGTGAATGAAACCTCTGTTATCCCCCTTATAAAAACACACCACTTACAACTCTCCCATCCACTCTGCTCAAGACGACATCACCAATCGACAACCAACCTGCAACATTCGCCATCATCATGGCCCTGAAGAGAATCAACATGGAGCTGCGGGAGGTACATAGGGACCCGCCGCCGGGTATCAGCGCCGGACCGGTGTCTGACAGCAACATGTTCCACTGGTCGGGCATGATCCTCGGCCCGGCCGACTCGCCCTACCAAGGCGGCGTGTTCTTTCTCGACATCCAGTTCCCGCCCGACTATCCCTTCAAGCCACCCAAGGTCCGCTTCATCACCAAAGGTACCTGCCTCACCATCATCACCATCATCACCACCAAGCTTTACTTTTCTTAGTCTTCTTCTTCTTTTTCGCTACTTGATGCTGACATGCTAATGATGATGATGATGCAGTGTATCACCCCAATGTGAATGCGAACGGCTCCATCTGCCTGGACACGTTGAGCACCAACTGGAGCCCCGCGCTGACGGCGTCGAAGATGCTGCTCTCCATCCTGCTGCTGCTGACCCAGCCCAACCCCGACGACCCGCTCCGCAGCGACGTGGCACACGTCTACAAGACCGACCGGGCCAAGTTTGACGCCACCGCGCGGGAGTGGACGCAACGCTACGCCATGTAGGAGGAAGCTTCGGCGAGTGCGTTTGTGGCCATCATTATCACCACCATTCTTATGGTGTCGTGGCCCAATGTGCTCGCCGGAGCTTCCGCCTTCAATCTGCTTGTGTTACTCCTCTTCTGTGTTATTAGAGCGCACTAGAGAAACCCTTCCTTTGTTCACTAAGTCCTGTTCCGCCATCATCTGATCGTCCTCCGTGATTGACGCTTGACACACGGCCGCCTGGCCCCGCCGTCGCAGCGTTTGTCGTTGGCACCGTAGCTCAGGGCAAGAAGCTCGGCTCGGCGAGGCCCAGCTTGGCGTTGGCAGGGACTACCCATGGGCCGCCGTGATGGTGTACTAGAACGGCTGTGGATTGCTGCGGTGGGCGAGGCGGAGGCGGGCGCGGGTGATGAGGACCACATATCCACCAAAGTCTTAAGTCCAAAAGCAGAGATGATCTTCAGCTTCTTCTTTCTCCACCATCTTGATGAGCATACATATGCAATGTCTCCATCTACAGAACTTAGTATTTATCACTGTGGAAGAAGAAGTGTGGTGATGTCAGGGTGAAAAGAAGTGCTTATGGGCTGTTCTGTACCATCAACAAACAAAGTAGAAAACACTTGTTACCTTGTTTGATTAGGCCAACTTGGGGGACAAATGAAATGGAACTGATTTGAACTAGATGAACATGAAGTGGGGGATGCAGGTTTTCTGTGGTTATACTAAGTCAGATTTAAGTGAACATGGCATGTATCTCAGCATCTTAGTAGTAACAACTACAAATAAGACCACTTTAGTGAATTACAGAGGGCACAGCCAATGACAGTCTGGTGGCAGCCTGGGTGGGCACTGCAACATGTTGGGGAGGTCGAAATCCAGGCCAGGCTGTGTGTTGGTGAGAAGGTTGGGACTTGGAGGGTGGCTGTTGGAGGTTGCTTCATCAGGCGTCTGGGAGGTAGGGGCTGATGACAATGAAGCAGAGGTGGAAGTGGTGGTGGTTGTCTGGCTGAGGGTCACATTGGAGTACTGCTTGGGAAGATTGGTTGAGGTGTAACACCACTGCTGGGCATCTTTCTCTACAGTGATGGCATTGTGGCCAGCCAGGACAGCAGCCAACGAGGCAGAGCAGGTGCAAAGGCATTGAGGTACTTGCCTGGCTGGGTGAACAGCCTGATGAACCTTGAGAGAGCCAGCCTCCTGGGGCTTTTGGCCATACTTAACAGGCTTCTGGTTGGCATTGTGCCAGAGACCTGGGGCTGGCATGGTGAAGGACAGGAAGTAGTCCTCTGGCATGAGAGTGTTGAACTGGACCTGCTCAATGGCGCTGAATCAAACAATGAGGTATATCTTGAAGTTGTTGAACAGCCACTGACCTCCCCAGAGCTAGCTGCCAGAAAGGGTCATCACACCAAGTGAGATGGCGCATTGGAAATCTCTTGCATGTAGCTGGCTGCTTGAGAGTGCTTGCAGAAGAGGACCAGGATGAATTTGTCCAACTTGTTGCAGAACCTGACCATGTTCAGGAGGGGCTGGATCTTAGCAATGGGGTAGGGCTTGGCGTCCCAATGTTTGGTGTTGGTGATGCCCTTGAGAGGTGCAAGACCATACAGAAGGTTGATCAGCACCAGAGCAGTAGGAAAAAAAAGTTAGAATGTATTCCAGAAGTTCATCACAGTGGAGATGGGCTTTAGGTTGGGCGCAGGCTAGACCCAGTGATGAGGGCTTCCACCAGCTTGTAGATGTTGGAATGGTTGTGGATGAGCTGGAACAGGGGGTCAAGGCTCTGAACATTCAGGTCCAGTGGTGAGGTTCTTGCCCAAGTTGTACCATGGCTGGATCCACAGGGTGGATGAGGAACAGCTGTGGCCCCTCAGGTTGGTGGAACCAGAGAGGGTCAGCCTTCCATGGAACAGCAGATGCTTGTCCCCCATTGCACTGCTCCATGCTGAAACCCTGACAAGTTCATCTGTACAAACACAAAATGTCACATCAAGTAGTGTGGCGTAGGTAATGAAGGGGGTGCCACTGGGGTTGGTGAGTGTTACCACCTGCCTGTCCTTGTCCTTGTACACATAACCCTGCACTGTCTCAACAATGCAGGCTACTTCACCCTCTTCTACATCACCAGCTGCCCACACAAGCTACACATACTTCACCACCTTGGTAGAGATTTCCAGAATACACTCACCCTCTAATTTTTGCAGGTCTAATGGGCTGGGTTTTATTTGAAACCTGGCTCTTTTTAGCTGGCAAGAAGTCAACTGTCTGGTCAGCCCTTGCTGCTCTATGGTGGGGCCAACTGCTCTCTCATACACAGTGCTCATGAATTTGGGACACACAATCTGAGCACTGGCAACTTCCCTCTGGCAGCACTTGGTTCTGGCCAACTAATAACCCTTCCCTTTCACAACAAGGGCTGCCTGGGTGTGAGTCACACTCAAGAACAGAAGTAACAAGAGTACTGCTGCACTATTTCAGCATACTCTCACACTTAATGCCTGTGGGCACAAACAACACCTACTTTGTGACCACTAAGGCATGTGCCCTTGTACTCCAGAATACAATGTGTTGCAAGTTTCTAACACCTGCACTTCTCTCCACTTCACCAGCTCCTCTGGCTCCATGGTGGTTACACTGTCTGGCCCCAGTTCAGAGTCACAGTTCTGTCCTGTGATATTTGTTCTTTCTTTGGTTCAGAGTTGGAGATGAGTTGCGAATGTTGCGCTCTTTGGGATGCGGCCAGTGATGAAGCACAGGGCCGCAATGATCCTTCCGAGCATCGACGTTTGTCTGTCTAGCGAAAAAATTGAGCTATATCCTGGACCGAGGTCGTAATAGAACAGAGTGTGGCTAGAGTATTTAGCAAACCTTCTTCTTCAACGCGGCCCGGGTTTTGTAGTTCGCGGCCTCCGCAATTAATTTTGGTTTGTTTCAGAAACTCCGGCACGGCGTTCTGTTGCGCTTGACAAAGAAGATGAAGAGAAGATGATGAGAGTGGGCGAGCTAGTTGAAGTAGGGACTCTTGAGGAAGAAGGCAAAGAGTTCATCGCTTCGCGTCTGTTGCTCGACGTAGCGTCGTTTGAGCTGGGCCTGCGTGTCGATCTCCTCGCGGGTGATCTTCTGGATCTTGAGCATCTTTCGTCGACTCCTGTTTCGCTCCAGGATGTCGTCGATGAGGGCCGACAGCGAGGCCACCTCGTCGCTCAGCGACTGCGCGAGCTTCGACAGCAGCTCCACTCCCGCCAGAGCGTTTGGTCGAACATCGATGCCTGACACAGATGGCGTGGGCGTAAGCCAGCGTGTGCCGTGTTGCGTGCGGTGTGGCGTGTGCGATGTGTGTGTGTGTGTGTGTGTGTGGTGTTTACCTTGGGGAACGACAGAGAGGACGAGAGGGAGAATGCGGCTGACAGAAGAGGACGAAGGGGCAGACACGTCGACGCACGTCCACGACAAGCCGGGAGGCGAACGCAAGGCGATGCGAAACGGTTGGTTGGACTCGTTCGTGGAGCGAAGACTGCAGCTTCTTCGATCTGTGGTAGTGGAAGAAGTCAGCGATGAGTATCGGTGCGGCGCCAAGGAGAGGTGAAGTGGCGTGCATACCTGACGACGACCCAGAAGCAGAGACTGGGAGTACTTCCTCAAGGGCTGGCAGGAGGGAAGGAACTCCATCACGGGTCCGCTGGCCAGTCAGGAGCACCGACATTCGCGCTCGGTCGTCTATGTACACGGCATAGCTCTATGAGTACCGCGCTTGTGTGTGTGTGTGTGTGTGTGTGTGTGTGTGGGCAGAACAGGGTTTGTGGTACCGAATGGAATGGGTGTGGCGGTAGCAGGACGAGCGATGAGCTGATCTCGGACGCGCAACGGCAGCGACCCAAGACAGCCGTAGTTGGCGGACTGAGTCTCAGCCTCGTCGGTGAACACCTGCACCCAGACGTCCACCGTGGCGTCGGTGGTGATGTTTCCGCTCACGAGGGTCGTCAGCGTGGTGGACGCCTGCGGAAGCAGCCGGACCCTGTCCTCGAAGCCTCCGCTGCTCGCCGAGGCCAGCCCAAGCCGAGGTTCGCTCACAAGCAGGCCTTGGCACCACCGTGTCCTACTGCGCCCAGTAGCCAACGCACGTAAGACAAAGCGCAGGCCAACAATATGAGCGCACCTCGTGTGTGAGAGAGGGGGCCTACGTAGTGTGCGTGTTGGTGATGGTGGCCGTCACGACCCATTGACCCCCGGAAAAGGCCGCAACCAACGCGTCCACGCGCAAATCCGCAGCTTCGGTCTCCCTGTCGCCGTCGTGGACGTTCCGCTTCTCCGATCGTCCGGTTCGTCGTCATCGAAGAGCGCGACCAGCTCGTCTGCAAAGCTATTGTCGGGTTCGATTCGATTTTAGGGGGCCATCTTTGTCCGGGCATCAGGCCTAGTGACTGATTGGCGGTGGCGTACTGTTTCTCTCCGTGGATGGTTGCCAGGTAGGGAGACTCGATCCGCATGCAACTGCCCTCTTCTCGCGCCAGTCGCAACAGCACGTCCATCGCGTGGTTGAAGAGGAGCCGCTTGGCCTTGAACTGAAGAAGAGAAACAACAACAATGCAAGTGTCATAATTAGTCGCGACCGAACACAGTTACCCTGGCGCAGTAAGGCATTGATGGGTCGCGCACCCTTTCCCGTCCGTCGCACAGGAACTGTTTGCCCTCTTGCAGGCGGCAGTGGAGCGAGTAGGCCACCCACTGCAGACTCTGTGAGTAGGCTCCTTCCGTAGCTGTAGCACTCCCGCATTTGAGGGTGATGTGAGCGTCGGGCGTGAAGCTTCCAGAGAGAGTTGAGGGCCGGCCACATTCACGTACTCTGTTCCTTCGTCTTCGTCTTCTTGGGGAAGGCGTAAGTCGTGTGAAGGTCCGTGAGCGTGAAGTGGTCCTTCTTCGACGGCTTGCCGTTCTTCTGCAGCTTCGCCGGATGGAACAGCAGCACCTGGTCCCTCCCCGCAAGGAGGAAGTCGCCCACCAGCACGTCCTCCACTTCGTCGACCTCTTCATAGGCACAGCGAAATGTTAGCCGTTGAAAAAGACCCCCAAAAAACTGCTGGCCTGGGTTGGCGATACCGTGGAGCAAAGTGCCGTCTTGATGCCGGATGTGGACCGTGTGGCCTTCGAACTTGATGACCAGAACGAACGCGTCGTTGTTGAGTCGCGCAAGGGCTCTGTGCGAACACCAAAGACAATAAAATGTCGAGTCAAGATCGAGCGCTGTGGGCCGTGGCGTGGGGGCGGTGAGGCAGTGGACATACATGGAAAGCGGAACGGCGGGCAGTTTGTGGCAGGCGACCGCTTCGCCGTTCCTGATCGTCACGAGCTCCTTCGACTTTGTGCCGAGGAAGATGGAAGGCTTCAGGACCACCTCTTCGCCCATCTCGTTCTCGTACGTGTAATCGCGGCTTTCGTCGTCGTTGTCGGCGAAGACGACCACGGCGATGTTGTCACGCTTGGCGAAGAGGTTGGGAATCCAACTGAGCCGGGTGTCTCGCCCCGAGTCGTCCGGCTGGACGCTTTGCTCGTTGACAGGGGCGCCAAGGCCGCCGCCTTCCTCGTCCATGAGGTCAAACGAGCTCAGGAGCGGGTCCTCCTCGGCCTCCATCATGAGGATCGGCGACGGCAGAGGTGACGCTTCGGACCCGACGTCGGGTTCGCCTGCGCCCTCCGCCGCCTCTTCGTTCGGGAGGGGCACGATGACCCATTGCTGGGTCGATTCCTCTCCTCCGTCCTCGAGGAGGCCGCTGTTGTCGAGCTCTTCACCATCATCAACGACGAAGCGCTGGGCCAGCTTCCTCCCACCGTCGGCGAAGTAGTCAAGCGCGAGTCCGTCGAGCATGTCCTTCTTGAGGAATTGCAAGAGGTTGGTTGTTCCCTTCTTGCCGTCGTCTCGCTCGAGGGGCTGGCCGTCGAACGCCGTCGAACCGACGAAGAGAGCGTACTGCTCGCAGACAAGCCCGAGCGTTGGGTCCTGAACGAGTTCGAATGTGTTACTAGTGTTGATGGCCGGCAGGCCACGACAAGACGAAAGAAGAACCGAGCAAGTGGGGGGCAAACTGTACCACGCTACCACACGTCACGAGACTAGCGCGCGGTGGGTAGGGCACTTGGGAGGTGATGAACTTGGGCAGACCTTCGCACGTGTGCGTCAGCCGGCCGAAGAAGAGGAATGGGCTGCCTGGCGAGCCTTCGGCAACCACGATCGGGCCGTGAAGAATCCACACCCTCCCTGCACGGTACCACCACCGCTTGCGTGCGTTAGCCCAAACGAGGCGTTTCCTTGCGATGATGGCATGAAGCGCCTTACCTCCGGTTTGTAGTGCAGCATCCCTGAACTCTCGCAAGCAGATGAAGGTGGCTTTGCCTTGGTCGTCTGAGAGGGTGTTGCAGAGTCAGGACAGAGCAGGGAGTGGAGGTTCAATATTGGCGTGCACACCTGTCGTGATGAAGCCGATGGCGCACAGAGGGTCCTTGTCGTCATAGCAGTGTCGCACAAGAAGGTACACGAAAGGCCTGACGTATCGTACGCAGTCAGCAACACACAGCACACACACGGGCATTAATGCAGGGGTCATGGCGTACATGATGATGGCTTTGTTCTCCACATAGGCGGCTGCAACGAGGTCCGTCTTTGTGGACCCCTTTTTGCCTGTTGGGGCATCGTTGTGGTGACGTTCAAGAGCCAAGGCACATTTGATTGCAGAATTGACGCACCTTTGATGATCACCGACCCAGCTGAGGTGAATTCTTCCTTGGCCAGATCGAATCGGCGCAGTTCGACCTTGAGGCCCGTCTTGCCAGGCCTCGAGTATATCGTACACAGCTCATTCCCGCTGGCCAGACGGGCAGCCGTGCTGCCTCCCTCCATTCGTGCAGATCAACTTTTCCTCAATCTTTTCTTCGAACGCTTTCGTTGTTGGCGCCAGATTTTGTTGCATTTTCGTTGCGAATATGGAGATGCAACCGCGGACGATAGCATGGATCTTTATCGCCTGTGCCTTGGGCATCGGGTTGCACCTTTGCCTGAATGATCCCGACCATTCTCTGCCTCGCGCCCTCCAATTCATGGTGTACGGGGCTGGCATCCTTACGGGGATCCTCGTAGGCGTCTGGCGATTACGTACGATTTGACGTCCCATCCTTTAGCCAGCCCCGGCCTGCAGATTAACATCCAAGTGGCTCAGTGTACGACTTGATCTCACCGCGGGAGCCCCATCTGTCTGGAAGCCGCTTTGCAGCCGCTGCGGGCATCCACCCCTACACGCCTCGAGTTGAGATGTGGAAGCAGCTCACGGGCAAGTACGCACCACTGCGTCACGCACACCACCGCCCACGTGAGCATTGCACCTTCGTGCTGAGTGTGGCCAATGGTTCATGCCAGCTCTTGTCTGACTTGTGCCTTACGCTAGGGAGGTGGAGAAGGACAACGAGTTTGCCACGAAGGCCAAGACCTGGGGCATCAAGAACGAGAGCGCCGCCGTAGAAGTCTATGCAGCTCTCCGCCTGAACAAGAGCATCATGCCCAACCACACGTACAACGTTCTTCTGATCTTCTTGTCTCGTCTCCTACATTTAGCGACGCCAACTCTCTCTTCGTTGCTTGACCCCCTGGTGCCATTTCCTTTCTGCAGGCAATACCGCCACAAGACTCATCGGTGGCTCGTGGGCATACCCGACGCCTTGATCGTGGACACCAAGACTGGTAAGGTCGAGGGAATCCTCGAGGTGAAGTGCCCCTACGCGCCGGACATGAGTCGGTACTCTCCCGCCCTTCCTCGCTCTGTCGACTAAGTGGCCAGCCATCACCGACCATCCAAACCGTCTGCTTCCTTCCCCCCGTCAGGGTGGTGCCGCACCAGACCATGTCTGCTATTTATTACCACATGCCCCAGGTGCAGGGCTACATGGAGATCCTGGACGTGGAGTACTGTGATCTCATGAGCTACACGACCAAGGTACATCCACCACAGCGACAAGCTAGGGTCCTCCACGTGCGCGCGGTTCGAGCCACCTTATTTCTCACTGCCTTCTGGTTTGATCGATTCCTCCCAAGGGGAGCGTGATCTTTCGGTTCATGCGCGATCGCGCCTACTGGCTGGAGATGCTGCCCGCGTTGGTCGAGTTTTGGACGCACATGCGACGAGACACCCCACCATCAGAGAAGCACGCAAACAGCAAGACTCTTGAGAAGTAAGTACCGCCTTTACAGCACCCGATCCTAGAGTAGCCGTGAACGAACTCTAAGCCTCACGTTCTCCTTCTTGTTTGCGCAGGCTCTCCCTGGAGATGGACTTCACCAACGTTGAAGACGACCGGAAGGAACGACGAAAACCGCAAGCGTGAGCGTTGTAGAGGAGGTTCGTCGCTGTATTGTTTTTGTTTGATTGTTTACAGTGTGACCCGGGCAACACCGTCGAAGACGACGTCAGCCGGTCCTTCCATCCACACCCGCTCGACGGACTGGTACCTGTCCCTGCCCTCCTCTGTCGACACGACACGTTGGGAAGTGAGAGGCGGAGACGACAGGAAGCGAAGAGGGCACCGACCGGTCGGTGCTAAGGGACACGTACTGGCTGCGGTGGGGGAGAAGTCGACGCGGAGGGTGAGGTCGCCGCCGGTGAGGTGTGCGTGGACAGGCTTCGTGGGGTCTACGCGGTCCAGCACGGTCGCCACAACGGCCGCAGCCGAGGCTCCGGTGCCGCACGCCAGAGTCTCGCCCACGCCCCTCTCCCACGCCCTGAAGCACCGTCAAGCAGCGCAATGACGTCAGCACACACGATCTCGATAAGGTAAGCCACAACACACACACACCACAGCTCGACGTACCAGTAGTTGATCTTGTTGGCCGGGAGGACCTGCACGAACCCGACGTTGGTACCCTGTGGGAATATGGAACGATCCTTCTCGAGGGCTGGTCCGAGCGTGTACAGCGGCACCTTGTCGGCGTCATCGACGAACACCACCGTGTGCGGAACCTGACGAACCAGCCGAAGCCACCATCAGGCCGCGAAGAGCGAAACGGACCACTTCGCCCACACACGGTACGCACCCCGACGACCAGCGACGAAAACTGGTAGGTGACCCCCTCGAAGACGTAGTCTTCCTCGAGGACAGGGAGGTCGCCCGTGTCCTTGCTCTGCAGCGAGGCGGTGGCGGCGGAGGGCAGGGTGCACGGCACGGCACTCCGGGCAAAGTCGGGCTTGCCCATGTCGACCCGGATGGCCGTGACGTGAGCGCCGCCGTCGGTGACAGTCAGGTGAGCCACCATTGTTCCTGCAAGCAAATTTGTAAGCGTGTCGCTGTGCGGTGTGTGGTATTTCAGCGCGTGAGCGGTAGCGCGTGTGTCGCGTGTGTGTGTGTGTGTGTGTGTGTGTGTACCGGCGGGAGTCTCGATGTAGAGCACGTTTCGATCATTCTTGCCATCTTCGTTCTTTGCCGCCCAGAGCCAGTCCGGCAACAGCTGACCGCGTCGCTCCCATACCAGTTTGGCCGCACATCGCAGTGCATTCCCGCACATCGGCGCCGCTGCAAAACATCACCCGGTAAGTACCACTTATTCTCCCTACGACTGCTAACTCACTCTCCTTCCTCCAAGCACTGACACGCAACGCAGGAACCTACCTGAGCCGTCGGGATTGTAAAGTTCAAATCTGTGGTCGTCACGTCACAGGTTGAAACGTAAGAAGGTAAGCCCACTGGCCCAACACAACAACACAACACATAACATAACATAACATGACGGAGTTTGTCGGGGCAGAGGGAGAGGTGGTAGAATGGGTTACCGGAAGTGGTGGGCCGGCTTGCCGGGGAGGGTCGACAGAGTGGCAAAGGGCGGGAGGAGGAGCGTCAGGCCATCAGCGCCCACGCCGAAGCGCCGCGTACAGAGGGTCTTGGTGACGTGGCCCACGCCGCCTGCCCACACGGAGCGAGCGCGCGAGGCTGCCGGCACGTAGGAGGGGAAGGTGTGCGAGGTGGCGGCCAGGGCGGCGAGCAGCGGCGACAGCGGGGGTACCTCGACATCGGCGACCGTGTGGCCTCCCGACGGCGGCGACCGGTAGGACTTGGAGTCTCGGAGCGGCTCGCTCACCATGACGAAGTCGTTGCCCAGCCCGTGCATCTTCACAATGGGCACGTCCACCGCTTGCGGCTGCTCTCTGTTCTCTTGTCGTCGGTGGTCCATCGTCTTGTTCGCTCGTTTGTTGAGGTGTGTTGTCTTGTGTTTTGAGAATTGATTCACTGGTGTGCAGCCTGGCGAGGTGCTGGGCCTTGAATGAGATAGCGAAGGAACAACCAGAGAAGAAGCTGACAAACACGACAAATCACGTCGGCAAATGGTGGAGCTCCGCTTCCTGTGGAATCCACCAGCCATCTGCCTCGCAACACTTCGTGGTTGGATCCCTCCGTCTCTCTTCTTGGGCGTTGGGAGAAGGAAGGGCACCATCGACTCACACTTAGGATCAACTCACGGACATCAGGACCGACAACGTAGCAGGAAAGAAAAGGCACAAGAAACTCTGGCTTTTCAGGTCTGGTGTTCGACAAGGAGGTACCCCAAGCGACCCAAAACCATGGTGAGGTCCACTCCACCACCACTGAGTGTTGGTGTGCCTGGTGGAATTGGGCGAGTGGCCGGGATAACATGTGAAGATAGCCGAGTGGTGCGGAGCGTTTGGGGTGAGGCCAACCGGCTGCGGGCAAGCAAAGGGCAACCACAACACAGTCTCGCAGACTGAACTCAAGTAATATGGAGGGACTGGACTACGACGTGGTTGTGGTGGGCGCCGGTCTGGCCGGTCTGCGCACTACGCAGTTGCTCGTGCAGCAGGGCCTTTCGGTGCTATGCCTCGAAGCCAACAACGTACGTTGTTGCTCTGCATTGCTGTGCAGATTGAATTCTGACAAATGATGTGAATTGATTCCTCTCGTTGTGGCACTGCAGTGCGTTGGCGGCCGCACCCGGAGCGCGGTGAGGGAGGGTTACCGATGGGATGTCGGTGGCCAGTGGCTTGGCCCCACCCAGACCCGCATGCTCAATCTCTGCTCCCAGCTGGGCCTCGCCACCTTCCCCCAGTACACCGAGGGTACCCCGCTTGTTTATTATTCATTATTAGTATTTCATTTATTATTCTATTATTTAAACTTGAAATAATGTAATTGTTATTCTTATGTGGCCCTTTGGCGCTACAGGTAAAAAGTGGGTGGACGTGCTGGGCAAGAAGAAGACGTACACGGGCACCATCCCGCCGCTCACGATCGCCTCCTTGATCGACATCCAGCTGGGCATCTGGAAGATCGACGCCCTCGCCAAGACCGTGCCCAAGGGGAGGTACCCAAGCACTTCGAAGTCTGCTTCAGGTCAACCCAGTCAGCTGATGGTTGATGGTCTCTTCTTGGTCGCTGCGTTGGCCTATGCCGTGAGCAGACCGCAGGATTGCCCGAATGCCCGGGAGTGGGACAACATGACCGTGGAGACGTGGAAGCACCAGAACCTCTGGACCGATGGCGCCAAGGCCATGTGGGACATCGGCGTGCGGTACGCTCCCGAGGCGCCACATCACCCTGTGACATCCACCTTCGCGCTGACCACTTCTTCTTCTTCTTCTTTTCTTCCACAGCGCCGTCTACTCTTCCGACCCGGCAGAGCTTTCGTTCCTCTTCTTCCTTCACTACATCCAGTTCGCTTCTTCGCCCCCCACTTTCTCTGACGGCTCCCACTCCCACGAGTCTGACCTTTTCTGACCCAAAAATGCAGTTGCGCCGGCGGGTACATGGTGCTCCTTGACACCGAGAACGGCGCCCAGGAGACCCGAATCCGAGGCTCGGCCCACGGCGTAGCGCTCAAGCTCGCCGAGCAGCTCGGTACCCTCCCCCTCCCTTCAATGGCGATGAGGCGCGGAGGCGCACCCAGCCACGCCTGACCTTCGTTCCCCTCCCCTCGGGACCTGACAGGCGAGCAGGTCCGACTCGCCAGCCCGGTCACGAGCATCCACCAAACTGCATCGAATGCCGCGGTGACGATACAGGACGGCTCGTCCTACACCTGCCACCGTGTAATGTACGTTAGTGGGACGTTAAAGGTTGAGTGACAGTCAGCCGCGCTAACCGGTCGATCCTGTTCAATGCAGCATCACGGTGCCACCACTGCTCACCAACCGCATCGAATTCGAGCCCGCGCTGCCCACGAGGAGGCGCCATCTGGCGCAGCGGATGCCAATGGGCCAAGTCATCAAGGTAGGAGTGCCACATGCGGTTGTGCGTCGGTTGAGTTGTCTGCTGTCGCTGATCATAGTTCGCCACACCAGTGCTTGGTCTTCTATGATCGGCCCTTCTGGCGCGACAGCGGCTTTGCGGGTAGGTTCTTCCTCACCGCACAGTGTTATTATATTCTTATTCATATTCATTCATTATTGTTCATTTATTATTTTTTTATTTATGAATTATTAGTGTTGGTGTGGCGTACGGGAGCATGACCCAACCTCGGTGCAGGCGAGGTGGTGACGGACGGAGAGGGCGTGTCGATCAGCTTCGATGCCAGCCTGCCCGACATCGAGCAGTACGCGCTGGTGGCCTTCTTCGACGGCAACCCCGCGCGCCAGTGGAGTGAAAAGACGAAGGAGGTACCTCACGACCACACTTGCTCGCACATGCTCCGCGCACTGCGCCACTTCTCCAGCTGTTCCCGTTTGACTAACGGGCCAACGCTCAACAGGAGAGGAGAGCCGAAGTGGTGCGCACCTTTGTGAACTACTTTGGAGACGAGGCTGCCCACCCGATCGACTACCTCGAACAGGACTGGTGCTCGGAGGTACGCGAGAGGTGCACGGCTCTTCAGTCCTGATGCAGGCCCGCTCATTCCCGTGTCGCGTCGCGTGTGTGGCGTGTGTGGCGTGTCTCAGCCGTGGGTGCTCGGAGGGTACACTGGCCTAATGGGTCCCGGGGTGCTGACGACGTGCGGCGAGACCCTCACAGCGCCGTTTGGGCGCATTCACTGGGCCGGAACCGAAACCGCCAGTACGCCCCACCCCTGCATTCCCAATTCCGCTCTCAGTCATATTCGCGCCACGCACTGTGATCGCTTACCTCGTGTGCGCGTGCAGCCAGTTGGCCCGGCTACATGGAGGGTGCGGTCCAGTCGGCTGAGCGGGTGACCGACGAAGTGCTATCTGCCCTTGCCGGTAACCCATCAAGCGCAGCGCAGTCCAAGATCGCGCTTTGGCTGACTTTGCTTTGCTTTGCGTGTCGTGTCGTGCGCAGGTAACGTGATCGAGTACCCGCCGCCGGCCACCCTGACCCCGCCACCCCGAGGCAGCGGATTCCCGATCGGCAAGACCGCGCTCGCGTTGGCCGGAGTGAGCCTCTGCGTCGGCGTCATGTGGGCCTGGGACAACAAGTTCACCGTCGTCAAGAACGTCGTCGCCTTCTTCGTTGTGTGAACAACACGCCACCGTTGGTGGCAAGTGGGCAACGCGCACATGGACGTATCGGAACACACTGGCGCAATACCAAGAAGTGCAATGATCTCCCCGCTCGGCAAAACCCGGCCCTCGGTGAGTGCTACGGAAATTCCCGACAGAAACTCCACGTGTTGCCGGGCTGAACTGGCAAACGAAAAAATATAAATAGTAATTTTTGTGTCCATTTCATCATCAACTCTTGGAAGACAACCACACACCAACATGTCACTCAAATTCGAACCGTCCGAGTACGTTCCCTCCATTAAGATGATATGCTCTGATGAGATGCTGACACGATTTTCAGGGCACAAATGGAATCGTGCCGACAGCAATTCCTGCAGGAAGGCGGCAAGGCCCTTGCCAAGTGGGGCGGCGCTGCTACCCTTTTTACCTCAGCCATGTCCCTCTGTACGCACCCGCAATGACGATGACGATGAGCATGCATGTATTTTGTCTAATTTTCATTTTCAGGGCCTGCCTATCGCAACCTGTTCAACTGGAGAGGCCAGATCTTCTGCGTAATGGGTACGCAATCGTCACTCCACCAGTCCTGCTACTTCGTACATGGAGACTTCGTTCTCATTCGTAATGATCTCGCTGCAGGTGCGGGTATTGCTGGCTTCTGGATTCGAGGCGAGCAGGCCGTGCTCAGGTGCCACCACGCCAGGGACGCCCAGAGACTGAAGGACATCTACGAGGGCCGCACCATGGGCTAAAACCCTGAAGTAACACCCACCCTTTCTTTCTTCTACTCCGTCTCCTTCGTTGTACACATCATCTTCTCAATAAGTTCTGCCCAGCCCAGACTTTTCCATCTAGCAGAAGATCAGCTTCTTTGTGGTTTGTGTTGTGTGTAGGCGTGGGTAGACCTCCACGCGCAAGTTGATTCATTCGATGAGCTTGTTGCTCACGGTGATGACCCACGCCACGAACAAGTAGAAGAGGAAGACCGGGTACGACACCAAGAGACCGCGCCCCGTCTTGTCTGGCGGCATCATCGCTACCACGAACCCCCATGACGCTGTTTGGCCACAACCTCAACGTGAGCGTAGCACGACACACACACACACCACACACGGCACGCACAGCACCACCACACGCAAGTGGGCCTGATCGAGCCCTGACGGTACCGAATAGTGACCAGGCGAAACCGCCGGCCACGGCGCAGATGCGGAAAACCGGGTCATTCCAGGTCAGGCAGGCGATGGCGGCTGCGTCGAGCGGCGCCAGGCAGTAGCCCATCACGCTCACGCACGCGAACACCGACCTGCGAGCACCCTCAGGCCCGAGTGAGCGGCAGCCACAGCTGCAGATGGGGGTATATGCTGAGGTAAGCGTGGGAGCTGCGTACATGTGGCCGCCGAGCAGGATGGCGTTGACCGAGACCACGAAGCCGCCGACCCACAGGACCGTGATGGTGATGATGAACACCAGCGATCGGTCCGTGTCCGTGCTCTGCGCCACCACACTAGTGCACACCCACAGTCAAGTCGAGCGTAAGTCTAACTTCTTAGCACGCACAGGACGCACACGACACGACACGACACACACGCGCTCTCTCCACAGAAGACGTACACGGCCAGGATGAAGGAGAAGACGAGCGGACCCCAGAGGTCCCCTGCCACGGGCGATACGCGGTTGAGAGGCCCATCAAAACGCCCAGCACGCAGTGGCGGTGCTGACAGGGAGGAGTAGGAAGAGGAAGAAGTACAGTTGCGCAGCTCCTGCTGGCGTCTGGTGAGGAACACAGAGAAAGGGAACAGGATGTGCATCATCTTCCACAGCACCGAGAACACGTCACGCCACTACACGCCACCTCGTCAGCCCACCAGAAGAGAAGTAAAGCAACAAAGCAAAGCAAAGAAGAAGAAAGCAAAGTAGAGCGTAGTGGAGGTGATGGAGGAGCTGGGCGCTGTCAGGTGAGGGCGTACGATGGTGCGCCAGAGAGGTTCGGAGAGGGTGCCCGGGTCGGAGGCGAGTAGGGCAGCGACGCGGGCTTCCTCCTCTCTCTGACCTGGGAACAGCTCCTCCTCCAGCTTGGAGGCTGTTGTGAAGGTCTGGGACGAGGAGGGTGTAGGGACTGAGGGCCGAGTGGAAGTCGAGGCCGTGGAAGAAGTCGCCGCCGTGGTGGTGCTCTGCTCCTCCTCTCTCTTCTGGCCTGGGAACATCTCGTCATCGACCTCTTCCAGCGCCTTCATCTTTATATCTGTAGGCAGTAAAGGGTAAGGCAAGTGTGAGCGAACTTGGCTGAGGCTGCTTGCTTGGTGGTGTCTCTAAGGCCTCTCTTCTCTTCGGGTCACCTCTTTGTTGGACGGGTGCGCCAAACTATCTTTTCGCATTTCTTTTTCTTTTTCTTTTTCTCGTTGTAGAAGATGGCGGAGCAAGGGAACGAGCAGAGGGAAGAGGAGAACCAACGCCTCGACGCTGCCATCGCAGCCAAGCAAGAGCAACTCGCGGCACTGCAGCACCAGGTCGAGCAGCGCGAAAAACGCCTGGCCGCCCTCGAACTCCGGCTTCAACTCGTCGAGGGGGCGGAGCAGCCGGCCAAGTCCGCCGCCGCGGGCCAGGGGCAGGGCACCAGGGTGGTCAGGCTCGACGTGGGCGGGCGCCACTTCACCACGAGCCTCGCAACCCTCACCTCGGAGGCCGACTCCAAGCTGGCGGCCATGTTCGACCACCACGAGCTCGAGCCGCAGGGCACCAACGACGGTCGCGTGTTCATCGACCGCGACCCCGTCACGTTCGCGCTCATCCTCGACTGGCTGCGCACCTCCGACCCGCCGACGGGCCTGAGCGCGGACCTGGAGCGGCGGCTCCGGCGCGACGCCGCCCACTACGGCCTTGCGCGCCTGGTTGCCGCGACTGCACGAAGAGCGATGTCG